AAAGAATAAAAACAAAGACTAATGTAACGTTCTAGAAGAAAAAGGACAAGCGACGAACATGCAGGCAAAATTTTCGTTCTAGGACATTTGAAAACCTATTTATTTCTCCTCTCTTTTTTAAATTAAATTTAAAGTCAAATTTCGTACTATGAGTGATGGGTATACCAAAAATAAAGCAAAAGCAAACTATTATCAGAGACTAACATGTGACAAAATAAAGCAGAACGTACCTCTTTTATGCCAAGAAATAACACCATCTATTAGTTTGCAATTTCACGATTTTTTAGGCCAATAAGCAGGATTAAATTAGGCCTAGTGGCCATTTAAGATGTAGGTATACCAAAATTTGGTTTGGACCAGATAGCCCAATAAAGTAGAAGAAAAGAGTCCAATGGGGGGTTTTTGCACATTGCCAAGCCCATTAAGACCCGGGCCTATAAATGTACATAACAAGCCCAACACTTTGTCAATGAAATGTCAACATTTTCATGCCCCTACTAAGAAAAACACATTCAAGTTTCCAGCTCCAGGATAAGTTGCTCAAGAAACGATCAAAACACAAAAAGTTTCAGAGAGTTCAAATGATTTACGTTCATTACTTCCAGGATTTATAAATTCATATTGACAACATTTCATGGATAGTTAGTTACTTACGCCAGCCATTGTGTGTCCCAAAGGCCTGGAGAAGATAGGTTCAGAAAAAGGAAAAGAAAACAACAGAAAATTGCAATGCCTCACAAATCTAGGAATATTGAACCATTGTATTGTGAAGAACAAACAAAAATAGAGCAAAAAATAAGATGGGAACAGGACTAAAGTTGATTGCAAATGTGGACATATAAAATGGGTAAAAATACAACAATGAATCACATGCTCTTCTTACATAGCCTACATCCCAAGAACAGTTTAAAATCAATTTTCATTAATCAGTTCACCTATATTTGTGTTTACAGTTAGTTTCATTTCGATGTTCCGAGGGTAAAAATTCTTAAAAATTCATGAATCTCCAAAGTCAATTGAGGAGCTCCATTTGAAGAAGAAAGTCTGCTAGGTTTTGCACCCAAGAGAGCTTTAGGTTGAGCTACGCACCAACTCGGGAGGCTTTCAGTTTCTTACCCAGGAATGAATGATTGGGACTCAGCAAACCTGTTAACAGTCTTTGAGAAATCACCTCATCACTGACTCCTTTACAAAGGACCGCCCGCCAGAACTGTATGAACAATGATCAAAGCAAATGATCAATAGGCAGAAAATACGTAAATGCATGTAATCTGATTCTATTTCAATGACAGAGGAGGAGATGAATCTATTAGCTTAAATGACTCCTGACTCACGAGTATTGAAGGTTAATATTCATGAATCGACGGTTTTCTTTGCTTTGTGTTAGTGTTGCCGAGCCTTCAATGAGTTGATCTTGCTCCACATCTATCGGGTCATACAAGTATATCAAAGTCTGGAAAAGAAAACAAAATCAGCCAAAAAGTTCACCAGGACAAGTACACATGCAGCATAAAATAAAACCTTTCTGCAAAATATCCAGTGTCTATCTTTTATGTATTTTTCGAGAGGAAGCTTGAAGCTAATTTCAAGAAGAGGAAACGCCAAAGCCAGCCAAAAAATAATTGACCTCTATTGATCTTTTCACCAATCCTCCTGAGAATATTTACCTTCTGTAAAGTTTGTCACTTAATGAATATGAAAACACCAATCCACTCACTAAAACTTCAATAACACTTATAATCCCACAGAAGATAGCTAATTTCAATAATCAAAATATTTCAGATGAAAAGCTATCGATGCTAACATCACAAAATCATGTAGATCACAAGGATAATCTCATATTAGTGCACATTTCTACTTTTTCACCAAGTATGAATACAGGATACCGTTTTTGGACTGGACAAGGGTTATGTTCATTTATCACTGGAAAGTTCTTAACTGCCCACCAAGTCCCTCCCATGCAAATTCTTCATGTCATAAATTTTATACCAGTCAATTTCTTCATACATTTACATGCTTTTTAGGAATTCAGCCATAAACAGTGGTTCCGAAACAGTTGTCTAAGAGACAGCACTAATCAAGGTAATTTGCTCGTATTAATTATTAATATCGTAATATACAAAGGTTTTATTGTGCTGGCATTGCACTTGAAATGTTTAAATGTTTGCTTCTGCTTATGGCGCCAACCAAACAAAAGAGAGAATGCGCACATTAATGACAAGGCCAGGAATGTGCAATACCTGTTGCCAATGTGTTGGAGGGTCCTCGGGTGCAGTGGATAACACAAGTGCCTCATTTGGATTTGTCCTTTTCTTCCTCTGACTACCATCCACTGGAGGATTATTTGATGGCGCAGTTGGTAAGACTAGTGCTTGAGGATTGATGGGAGAAGATGCAGAACCACAAAATTCAACATCGAACCAAAACGCAAACCCATGAAATGGAGCTAGAATAACATCCAAACCACACTTACAGCAATCAGCAAAACAGAAAAGAAGGGCAAATTTTTTGAAGACTGGAAAACAAGATGATATATAGGCATTAGAGAAGGCACTTGGAATAACATCCAAATTTTTTAAAGTCCGTCATGAAGAGAGTTGCGGACTTGTCATGCTTGGCAAGAAGACTTCAAGTGTCATTCTTGAGAATTTTGCTTTGGTCGTAGGTGAAGTCCATGCTAGCAACCATGAGAAGACTCATGTATGATGTGATCATTGTAATAAGCCAAGACACATACGTGAAATATGTTGGAAACTTCAATGTAAACTAGCCAATTGGAAGGGCAAGCATTAAGGGAAGTTTAACCAGACAAACTAGTCGAATGAGTGTTCCCACTACATATGAAACCGAAGTTGTCCCATTTAGTCCTTATCAAATGGATCATATTCTCATGCTTGCTAAAATCTAACACTACATTATCGAGTACTCCTAATGTTTCTCTTACACGAAACAAATATTGATTTAAATGCCTTAGTTTCTTATTCTCTTTTGCAATTTGCTCCTTGGATAATAGATTCGGGAGCATCCGACCATATGACTAGTTTTTTCAATTTATTTCGTACATATAATCCTTGTTTTGGACAAGAAAAAATTCATATAAGTAGATAGGTCTTATTCTATAGTAAGCAAAGGTTTGATCAAATTATTAAAAACTTGATCTTTTAAATTTGTTCTTCATGTACCTAAACTTGCCTATAATCTTCTATCTATTAGCAAAATATCCAAAGATTCTAATTGCTCTATTACTTTCTTTGATTCCCATTATGTTTTTATCTTTTAAATTTGTTCTTCATGTACCTAAACTTGCCTATAATCTTTTATCTATTAGCAAAATATCCAAAGATTCTAATTGCCGTATTACTTTCTTTGATTCCATTGTGTTTTCTAGGATCGAATTCGAGTAGGAAGATTGGTAGTGCTAGAATGATAAATGGTCTCTGCTACTTTGAAGATGAAGATTCTAAAAATAAAATACCTTAAGAGTTCAGTAGTGCTAGTTCTACCTTGATTAAGGATAAAATAATGTTTTGACACTTTAGATTAAGACATCTTAGTTTTTCATACCTTAAGAAACTATTTCCTACTTTATTTCTTGGAATAGATAGTTCCAATTTTCATTGTTAACATTGCATTTTATTAAAAGATCACAAGAATACCTATTATTCAAAACCATATTAGCCTTCTCGACCTTTTTACCTAATTCATAGTGAAGGTTAGGGGCCTTCAAGAATTCACAATTGTTCGAAAAAAATGGTTTGTGACTTTTATTGATGATCATACTCGATTATGTTGGGTATATTTCATGAATGATAAATTTGAAGTTCAAATGTTATTCAAAAGTTTTTATACAATGGTTGAAACACAATTTCATACAAATATTAGAATTTTGCATACCGATAATGATACTAAATATTTGAATAATACTCTAGGCAACTTCTTCAAAGAAAAGGGTATTCAAGTTCGGGTAATATAATGGTTTTACCCGAACGAGTCATAAAAAGGGTAGAGAATCATCTATACCCGAACACCACCAAGACAATCTAATGGTTTGAATTCAAGTTCGGGTAATGTTGATCCCTCGGCTTTCATCTCCTTCTATTCCTAATAATTCTATTAAAACGGAATATAATGATCTAGATATACCTATAGCCATTACAAAAGGAACTTGTTCTCGTACTAATCATCACATTGCAAAGTATTTGTCATACGATAGGCTCTCTCATAAACATAAGGCATTTATATAAAAAATTTCTAATTTGTTTATCCCGAGAACCATTTAGGAAGCACTTGATGATCCAACGTGAAAATTAGTTGTTATTGAGGAGATTGATGCACTAAAGAAGAATGGGACTTGAGAGATAGTGGAATTACCCAAAGATAAAAAAACAATGAGGTGTAAATGGGTGTTTATCGTAAAATACAAGGGGGTGGAAGTGTAGAAAGATATAAAACAAAACTTGTTGCTAAAGGGTTTACTCGGACTTATGGTATTGATTACCAAGAAACTTTTTCTCTAGTAGCAAAAATTAACTCCATCCGTGTGTTATTGTCTCTTGCATCCAATTTTAATTAACCTCTACAACAACTAGATGTAAAGAATGCTTTTTTGAATGGTGACTTTGAAGAAGAATATTCATATGCCTTCCTCTAGGTTTTGAAAGTACTATTGGCTAAAATAAAGTATGCAAACTCAAGAAGTCTTTGTATGGTCTTAAACGAGTCTCTCGAGCCTGGTTTGAATGTTTTGGGAAGGCGAGTAAAAGGCTATGGACATTGCTAAAGTCAAGCTGATCGTACTATATTTTATAAACATTCGATAAGAGCAAGATTGCAATTTTAGTTGTATATGTGGATGATATGATTTTGACAGGTAATGATCTTGATGAATTATCAATGTTAAGGAAGAGATTAGCTAAAGAATTTGAAATTAAAGACCTCGGAATGATGAAATACTTCTAGTTATGAAGTTTGCGAGATCAAGAGAAGATATATTTGTAAATCAAAGAAAATATATCCTTGATTTACTCAATGAAACTAGCCTTCGGGATTTTAAGCGACCAAGACTCTAATTGAAGCTAATTTGAAGCTAAATCCAATGAATCGCTAAAAATGTGATTGAAAGGGAAAAATTTCAGCATTTGGAAGGTAAGCTTATTTACTTATCACACACTCGTCCTAATATTGCATTTCGTTGTTGGCATGGTAAGTCAATTTATGCATGCTCATAGCAAAGAACACTATGATGTTGCATATAGAATACTAAGGTATCTTAAAGGGACACTTGGAAAAGGGTTAATGTTTAGAAAGAGTGGTAATATTCGGATAGAAGTTTACACTAATGCTGATTAGGCAGGAAGCATTGTTGATTGGCGATCAACATCGAGTTATTACACTTTTCGTTGGTGGAAATTTAGTCACTTGCCGAAGGAAAAAGCAAAGTGTTGTAGCACGGAGTAGTGTTGAAACCAAATTTAAATCTCTTGCACATGGCACTTGTAAGATAATATGAATTAAGAGATTACTAAAAGATTTGCAGCTCTTGGTTTTATTTCCTATGAAGGTGTATTGTGATAGAAAAGTCTGCCATTTCAATTGCTCATAATCTAGTTCTTCATAATAGGACTACGCATATCGAAGTTGACAAACATTTTATCAAAGAAAAACTTGAGAATGGTTTAATCTATGTTCCTTACATACCTACCAGGTAGCTGACATTTTCATCAAAGGATTGCCTAAAACTCAATTTGATTCTTTTGTAAGTAAGTTGGCCGTGGAAGACATTTACAAGCCAAGTTGAGGGGGAGTGTTGAAGGAAATAATTTAGAATAGAGTAATTTTAGTATAAATATAGAAAGTTTTTATATGTTATCTAAGTTAGGGAAATAAGTCTTTTTGTACGACTAATACTTCTCATATAGGCCGATCTATTTGCTATAAATGTAGGCTATAACTCCTTGTATTATTCATAGCAATACAACTATTATTTTCTTCCATAATATTCTACAACATAACATAAATGGAAGCAAAAAAGAGTAATAAATACACATAATACCGTGGTATAAGACAACTTGCCAAGTAGGAAGAAAATTTACAGTTGCATTTGATGGAAGGATAAGGCCTCCACACTTTAGCCGACGATCTCTCGACGGTGATGACACTTCCCAGACATGCTCTACAAATTAAGAGAAAAAGAAGTCTTCAAGATGGTAAACATTGCATGGAATAAGGTAGATGGGGGAAAGTACACTTGCCCACAAAAGGTTAGATGCCATAATGTCATGCCCATACTAAATGCATTGGATTTGGATTTGCTAATTACGGATATATAAAATGCAAAATTTTAACAGTCACCTCATACAAAAGCATGTAGCCCATCCATTCTGAAATTATTACATCAACCTCCTCATCAATTTTAACATCCCGTGAAATCATTATTACATTGAAGTGACCAACTGATAGGAAGTGAACAAGTTAAAGCAAGAGGAAGAAATGTATTTCATTCAACGCTGGTTCTCTCCCTCAAATTTACATGAAACTTTCCCTAGCAGACTTTGAAGAGTTTAGTTGAAATGTATAGACATATGTGCACAAGGCTACCATTTGTTAATTAACAAACTTGTGCACTCAACCGATGGCCCGATTTGTCAAGCCGATAAACAAAGCGAGAGAACATGAAAGTTCAACCCTCATGCAAACTATGTGACATAAAGGTGCAGCCGAGCTCGCTCGCAAAAGTCGTGTATGAAGACGGACAAAGGTTGGCCCCATTGCTTTACCTTTCGAGCACTACGGAAATCGAGCGAGTGCCTACTTGACTATGCTAGCCATGTCCAATTGCCACGCTCTTCATATCTACCATTCCTCAATAACTCGAACACCATGAATTTACAATAATGTTGCAGATGAACCTTAAATTCCCCAAATTACCACAACCTTAACTCACTCTATCTGCTAATTTACAAGTTATGCAAATGAATTTGTACATGCCCCAAACTGCCATAGTCAATGAATTTCCTCTATCTCAACACTCGTACAAAGCAACTCGTAGTAACTAATAATTGTCTAACCGCAAGTATAATGCGAATATCTAACTCGTAGTAACTAAAATAATTGAGTTTTTTAGTTTTGGCTTGGTTATTGAGGTTAAAAAAAATGGTTTTACAAGTTAAAATATTCAATTTAATTATTTATTACTAATAATAAGATTCATTTTACATGTAAATAATAACATATTTATATCTTTATTATCAAGACATTTGTGAAAGAACAAGTGTTTTTACCATAAAAAAAAAAAATCACATTCAGTATATCTGCTAGCCAAAAAAATCATTTGACTTCTTGGTGACAAGTTGTTTCCGATGCAAGGACCAACTTACATAACTTTAAAGTTTAGAAACTATAGTGAAGATAATAACAAAAAATAACCGAGGGCTTTTTTAGTTTTGGCTTTGCTTTTGAGGTAAAAAAGTGATTTAACTAATAAAATTAGTCACTTTCAAATATTTATTACTAATAATAAGTTTCATTTTGTATGTAATTAATAATTTATTTATATTTTTATTATTGAGACGTTTGTCAAATAACCATAGGTATTTTATGAAAATTAATTTTTTTGAAAATCGCATGCAGTTCTAATAGACTCACATTTCATCAAAAAAAAAAAAAAAGAAATTCTTTAACTAATTTTTTTGAGATGCATTAAAGAATTAAGAAAAATAGCAAATAAATATTGAAAATCAATAAATAAATATCAAGCTTCATGACTCCAACAAGCCTAGTCACATAAATCATTAAAGTTGTTATAGACAAATCCGTTCATAACGCTCATCGATTTGTTCACCACTTCATACTATTTTATACATAGAAACCATATTGTAATACTATTTTATACATAAGAACCATAATGAATAAATGTGGAGTTAAGAGTTTAAAATAAAAAATATTTAAAAAATAGAATTAGTATGTAAGGACTATATTAAACAAATTTGTGGTTAACGAACAGAAATAAAAAATTAATGAAGAGACTTGTTGATGACACGTTATTTTTTATGCAGTGAATAAAACGCATTGCATTAAAGTGAATATAATTATCAAAATACTTAATTTCTTTTGTAAAATCTAAAATAATTTAATATTCAGGAAATATACATTTGAGTTTAATGCATTGAAATAAAAATTAGTGCAAATATAATTGACTTGATGTTGAAAAATTATTTCATATGCAAGGACAAAGTCACATAACTTTAAAGTCTAGGGACTAAATTAAATATAATTACAAAAAACCGTTGAATTTTGTTTTGTAAACTAAAAAAAATATTCCGAAAATATCTTGAATAAATTTATATTAATTCACTAGAATTAAAATTTGAGCAAACATACTTGACTTGTTGGTGACATGTTATTTCATATGCAAGGACCAAATTGCAAATCTTTAAAGTTTATGAACTAAATTTCATATAATCACAGAAACCACTGAATTTCTTTTTTGATGCCAAATCACGTTCTTTTGGCTTCTTTTTTGAGGTTGAGAATTTGGCTTCATTTTTGAGGTTGAGAAAATGTTTTTTTTTTTTTTTTTAAGTTAAAATAATCAATTTCAAATATTTATTAAAAACAACGAGTTTCTTTTTATGGTTATATATTTATATATTTATTATCGAGATGTTTGTGAACTAGATAAGAAACAGCAAGTATCAATTCGATCGTTCACTACAAAAATAATTGTAGTTTGCGACAGAAATTAACGACGGTTTTTAAACCGTCGCTAATCAATAAACAATTTCAATAGTGAGGAAAAAAACGGTAATTTGTGAGGAGTTTAGTGACGGTTTTTTAAAACCATAGCTATTTTGGTCAAATTTGATCGATTTTTGCAATGATTTTTTTCAAACTCGTCGTAAATTGATACAACATTAGCGACGAGTGCGACGGTTTTCAAAGCCGTCACTAATTTTAAATTTTTTTTATTTTTTATTTTTTTATTTTTATTTTATTATTATTATTATTATTATTATTATTATTATTTGCTTTGTAAGGAAATTGCAACGCTTTTTTCAAAAAAAACCATCGTAAATATTCCAAAATTAAATCGTCGCTAAATTTTGACTCGTCGAGGGGAAATGAATATTTTTGAATTTTTTAGTAAAATTAGTGATGGTTTTCTAAATTTTGACTCGTTGGGGGAAAATGAATATTTTTGAATTTTTGGATAAAATTAGCGACAGCTTTAAAAACCATCGCTAAAAATTTTAATCCCTAATAGCCACTCGGACTTGAATTTTTTCCCTAAAATTTTTTTCCTCCTTTTTCTTCTTCTTCCAACCGCAATTTTCTCCTACTCATTATCTCCATAACTTCTTCAAATCTCCTTCTTTCTCTTATTTTCCTCTTCCCCTCCACTCTCCCCCTTTCGTCCTCCCTTTTCTTTTTCTTTCTCCCCCTTCCCTCCACCTCTTTTAATCGAGCCTCTCCATTGTGAATAGTGCCATGGCAACAGACTCCTCCTCCTTCTTGGTGGCAATTCCTCCCTCATCTAACCCTCAAACTATCTTATTGGTAACCTATTTATTCATTTTTGTTATTCCAATTATTAAATTTTATATTAATTTTTGTTCTTAATTATTTTTGTTAATTGTTGTTGTTGTTTATTATTTATTAGTTAATTATTAATGTAATTATTGTTCTTAATTGTGTTATTGTTGTTGTTGTTTATTATTTATTAGTTAATTATTAATGTAATTATTGTTCTTAATTGTGTTATTGTTGTTAATTATTTATTCTTTAATTAGTTAGTTTAATTGTTGTTATTTAGAAAATTTGATTGTTATTGTTTTATTATTTATTGATTAATTGTTAGCTAGTTTTAATTAATTTTTTTTATTATAAGTAATTGTTATTTGTTGGTTATTAAATTAAATGTAATTATTTGTATTTAAATAATTTTGTAAGAGTTAGTCTAATTAATTATGTTTTTAATATTTTTTATTTAGTCGGTTATTAATTTAAGTGTAATTGTTTGTATTTAAATAATTTAATTGCTCATTAAATATCTAATAGGTGGTGTTAATTTAATTAAATAAACTATTAATATTTTATTAAGTGATTTTTAATAAAATTAATTAAATTTAGGCAAATTAAATTATTTAATTATATTACTGTTAGTTTAATTATATATATAGGTGTTAATTCAATTTTAATTAAGTAAATTTATTATTTGTTAATTAAAAAATTAAAATTGATGTGTTATTATTATCATTTGTTTTTGGAAAAGCATGTTTAATTATATATATATATATATATATATATATGTGGTGTTAATTTAATTAGTTTTGATAGTGAGTGAAAAATCTCAAAGCAAGGTAAACTTTCTTTTTGGTTCCCATTTTGTGAATTATTTTATGTAGATTGACTTTCTTATTGTTTTTTTTTTCCCCGACTTCAAGGGCATGGGTCATTGGATAGAAAAGTTGAGCTTTCGATTTCCAAGAGGTTAATGGATCTCAACTCGAAGCTAAAGTAATGGAATGAAAAATCCCATTTATTTGTGTCCCCAAATTATTGATAGTCATGTTAATAAAAATAAAACAAATTGTGTTTGAAATAGTAGTTTAGAACTACGATGATTTTTTTAATTTTTTTTTCGAGAATTCCTCGATTAGAATGTGTGTATTTATGAAAATAGAAAGAAAAAAAAACAATTTCGAATATATACCCTCATGCAAAAAATGACTGATCAAGTTATTCATTCAACAGGAAAAACTATGACAATCTAAAAAATAAAGAAGTTCAATCAAAGTGACATCAAATTTCTCTATATTCCTAGTTAGCAATAAATTTTAGTTTTGATTTCCATACAACATAATTGATGTGCTATTATTATTATTTGTTTTTGGAAAGAACATGAATAAAAAATTCTAACAATATTGGTGCTTGCTACAAGTAAAATTTATTGAAATTTTAACAGGTGGTGTAATATATATTTTTAGGTAATAACTGGAATAGGTTAATTTAAAATAATTAAAATTTGGGTAAAACTTTTTTTTAAAAAAATTTAGTGATGGTTTTACATAATGTTAGTAACAGTTTTTCAAAACCATCGCTAAATTACAATGATTTTAACGACAATTTATGAAGCCGTCGCTAATTTTTGAAGTTCGGTTACTCGTTTTTCTTGTAAATTTGTGACATTTTTAATTAAGTTAGCGATGGTTTTTTTCCATCACTAAATTTGGGACGGATCCAAAAACCGTCATTAAAAATTTAACGACAAGTATTTTTTGAGAATTTTTAAACCGTCACTAATTTTATTTAATGACGATTTTTTTAAGAATTAGACTTTCACTAATTCACCGTTTTTTGGTAGTGGTTGCTAAAAATCATCAGACTAATTATAGCTGTAACTGCAATAAAAGGGGCATCTAACCGAAGTAAGCGAAAAAAAATGTAAAACAATAATATGCTAGCAGCTGTATTCATTTTTTGTTTCATCATCCATTTTATTATTACTCGCATGGCAATAAACACCATGGGTTATGTTTATGGGTAGAGTCGCATCATGATGCCAATCAGTGGTCATGGAAGAATTGTGGTTCATGGAGCATTTGAGAAAGAAGCTTTAGCATGCTTGGCCGTGGCTGGCATATAACTTCCAGTGGCTGTGCCTTGGACAATGTGGCCCCTAGCCCCTCAGTCATATCCACCATTTTATCCCCAATTCTCTGCCACTCGAAACACTGAAGGAGTGAGGCCAGTGCTAATCCCACCACTCTCAGGGCCAAGCCTTCTCCAGGACAGCTCCTCCTTCCGTACCCAAAAGGCATCAACTTAAAACCATCTCTTGCCCCCTCTAGGCTGTTAAACCTCTCAGGCCTGAATTCTCTAGGGTCTGGCCAGATTTTAGGGTTGTTTTGTATTGCCCACATATTTACAGAAAGCATTGTGCCACGAGGAATGCTGAATCCTCCAACCGGGCATTCTTCTGATGACTCATGAGGTACTAGCAATGGAGCTGGTGGGTACATCCTTAGCGTTTCATTTATGATGCTGCGGAGGTAAGGAAGTTGGGCAAGATCCGCTTCATCAATTAGACGATCATGTCCGATATGCTCGTCGATTTCTTTTTGAGCCTTCTTGAGCTCTTCCGGATGGTTAAGCAGAAGGGAAAGTGCCCATTCCATTGTAGTAGATGAAGTCTCTGTTCCTGCTAATAACATCACCTACACACACCAAACCAAAATATGGGGCAATTCCATAGCGGTGACTGGAAAGTTAACAAATATGATGCAGATGCAAGCAGTGGAGATATCCTAACCTACTGCTCGTAGATTAAGAAAGGTGCTGCGTTATGACATCGATCATTGATCATAATATTCAGTAAATTAAGCAACATGGTTTCAAGTGTCTTACCACCATAAGCCCTTTGATGATATCGTCTGTGTAATAATCAGGTTCAGTTTCTTGCAGGGACAGCAGAACTTGAATCATATTCCTTTTCCTTTCACCACAGCAATCACCCTCTAATTTTCTCTTTTGCTCGTCTATCAAATACTGCAGGAAATTGTCTCTCTTCATATGGCACTCTATCAATCTCTTCTCCGTCTTTTTGGATTTAATCCACGGTATATAGTCTCCAATAAAGGTTTGGCCACCTAGCCAGAACGACTCAGCATGAATAGCACGAAACCTTTTTGCTTCTTCCACATCAGAAACATTGTCTCCATAATATCGCTTTCCAGCTATCATCCGCATCATGATGTTCAGTGTCAGTTCGAAGAAAGTTGTCTTCATATCTACCATCTGATTATGATTACGAAAGAGCCCACAAATCATTGCCTTTACCTCCTCCAGACGTATGGCAGAAAGCATGTGGAGGCGGTATGCAGACAAGAGTTCAATCGAGACGATTTTCCTAAGGTTTCGCCAGTGGTCACCATAGGGTGCCCAAGAAAGACTTGTGTAGTTGTAGGCAAGGTGTTTGGCAAAGAGCACACGTGGGCGATTAGCAAAGACAACATCATTTTTCGTAAAACATTCTTCAGCTATAGAAGGGGATGAGACAACAAGTTGTCTACGAGATCCGAGTTGGAGCAACAACACTGGGCCATGTTTATTAGAGATGTTTGATAGTGTCTTGTAAATGGGCTTCTTAAGCAGGTAGAGATGCCCAATGATTGGCAGTGAAGGGAATGGAGAAGGTGGGAAGTTTTTTATCTTGTTTAGGAATTGCCTTGTGATGATATACAAGACTAAAAACACAGGAAAGTAGAGAAACCAGGTTGCCATGGATTTGGCAGTGGCCGATTACTGTGTCCTTGTTTTCTAGGAAGGTGTATTACTTATACTCGCTATATATGCATCTGGATAAGACGATCTATATATATATATATATAACGGATTACTTAATACTACAAACTTTATGGTAATGCAGTGGTGAGATCAGTGCAAACGTATTATTATAGAGTTAGAGGGGATCAAGTCTTTAGGTCCACAACCTAAAATAATAAACAAGAGAGCAGTTGGGAAGTACCTTTCAGACATGGAAAGAGGTCAAGGTTATTCATTAAGAAAAAAGAAGTGCACGTGTTGGAAGACATTGAGTGGGCTTCAAAAAGTTGTGCCCCATATGTCACGGAAGAAGAAAATACATTATTTCTAGAGATCCGGTAGTCACAAAGAATAAAAACAAAGACTAATGTAACGTTCTAGAAGAAAAAGGACAAGCGACGAACATGCAGGCAAAATTTTCGTTCTAGGACATTTGAAAACCTATTTATTTCTCCTCTCTTTTTTAAATTAAATTTAAAGTCAAATTTCGTACTATGAGTGATGGGTATACCAAAATAAAGCAAAAGCAAACTATTATCAGAGACTAACATGTGACAAAATAAAGCAGAACGTACCTCTTTTATGCCAAGAAATAACACCATCTATTAGTTTGCAATTTCACGATTTTTTAGGCCAATAAGCAGGATTAAATTAGGCCTAGTGGCCATTTAAGATGTAGGTATACCAAAATTTGGTTTGGACCAGATAGCCCAATAAAGTAGAAGAAAAGAGTCCAATGGGGGGCTTTTGCACATTGCCAAGCCCATTAAGACCCGGGCCTATAAATGTACATAACAAGCCCAACACTTTGTCAATGAAATGTCAACATTTTCATGCCCCTACTAAGAAAAACACATTCAAGTTTCCAGCTCCAGGATAAGTTGCTCAAGAAACGATCAAAACACAAAAAGTTTCAGAGAGTTCAAATGATTTACGTTCATTACTTCCAGGATTTATAAATTCATATTGACAACATTTCATGGATAGTTAGTTACTTACGCCAGCCATTGTGTGTCCCAAAGGCCTGGAGAAGATAGGTTCAGAAAAAGGAAAAGAAAACAACAGAAAATTGCAATGCCTCACAAATCTAGGAATATTGAACCATTGTATTGTGAAGAACAAACAAAAATAGAGCAAAAAATAAGATGGGAACAGGACTAAAGTTGATTGCAAATGTGGACATATAAAATGGGTAAAAATACAACAATGAATCACATGCTCTTCTTACATAGCCTACATCCCAAGAACAGTTTAAAATCAATTTTCATTAATCAGTTCACCTATATTTGTGTTTACAGTTAGTTTCATTTCGATGTTCCGAGGGTAAAAATTCTTAAAAATTCATGAATCTCCAAAGTCAATTGAGGAGCTCCATTTGAAGAAGAAAGTCTGCTAGGTTTTGCACCCAAGAGAGCTTTAGGTTGAGCTACGCACCAACTCGGGAGGCTTTCAGTTTCTTACCCAGGAATGAATGATTGGGACTCAGCAAACCTGTTAACAGTCTTTGAGAAATCACCTCATCACTGACTCCTTTACAAAGGACCGCCCGCCAGAACTGTATGAACAATGATCAAAGCAAATGATCAATAGGCAGAAAATACGTAAATGCATGTAATCTGATTCTCTTTCAATGATAGAGGAGATGAATCTATTAGCTTAAATGACTCCTGACTCACGAGTATTGAAGGTTAATATTCATGAATCGACGGTTTTCTTTGCTTTGTGTTAGTGTTGCCGAGCCTTCAATGAGTTGATCTTGCTCCACATCTATCGGGTCATACAAGTATATCAAAGTCTGGAAAAGAAAACAAAATCAGCCAAAAAGTTCACCAGGACAAGTACACATGCAGCATAAAATAAAACCTTTCTGCAAAATATCCAGTGTCTATCTTTTATGTATTTTTCGAGAGGAAGCTTGAAGCTAATTTCAAGAAGAGGAAACGCCAAAGCCAGCCAAAAAATAATTGACCTCTATTGATCTTTTCACCAATCCTCCTGAGAATATTTACCTTCTGTAAAGTTTGTCACTTAATGAATATGAAAACACCAATCCACTCACTAAAACTTCAATAACACTTATAATCCCACAGAAGATAGCTAATTTCAATAATCAAAATATTTCAGATGAAAAGCTAACGATGCTAACATCACAAAATCATGTAGATCACAAGGATAATCTCATATTAGTGCACATTTCTACTTTTTCACCAAGTATGAATACAGGATACTGTTTTTGGACTGGACAAGGGTTATGTTCATTTATCACTGGAAAGTTCTTAACTGCCCACCAAATCCCTCCCATGCAAATTCTTCATGTCATAAATTCTATACCAATCAATTTCTTCATACATTTACACACTTTTTACGAATTCAGCCATAAACAGTGGTTCCGAACAGTTGTCTGAGAGGCAACACTAATCAAGGTAATTTGCTGGTATTAATTATTAATATCGTAATATAAATAGGTTTTATTGTGCTGGCATTGCAGTTGAAATGTTTGCTTCTGCTTATGGCACCAACCAAACAAAAGAGAGAGTGTGCACATTAATGACAAGGCCAGGAATGTGCAATACCTGTTGCCAATGCGTTGGAGGGTCCTCCGGTGCAGTGGACAACACAAGTGCCTCATTTGGATTTGTCCTTTTCTTCCTCTGACTACCATCCACTGAGGGATTATTTGATGGTGCAGTTGGTAAGACTTGTGCTTGAGGATTGATGGGAGAAGATGCAGAACCACAAAATTCAACATCGAACCAAAACGCAAACCCATGAAATGGAGCTAGAATAACATCCAAACCACACTTACAGCAATCAGCAAAACAGAAAAGAAGGGCAAATTTTTTAAAGACTGGAAAACAAGATGATATATAGGCATTCGAGAAGGCAGTTGAATGTTTTTTTTTTTTTTTTTTTTTTTTTACAGCATGCCGTATTTTGACAGCTTAAACTTTGAAGTGGATAATTGATTAACACTGAACCAGAGCAGAAAAGTTGTGTGTTTAAGAAAAGGATTTTAAAATTAATAAAAGACAGGGAGCATACCTCTCATCATTGACCTGAATTTGTATCTCGTTGTAACAGATTCTAGGTCATCAATTCTAATTGTATAGCAATCCACATGCTTAACCTGTAATCAACACTAAAATTCAAATCTCTGAATGAAGTAGCTTTCATAAGAGTGAGCATGCATCCAAACAAGATAAAACAGAATGTTGTTACTCAATATACAATCAGAGCAGCTATAGCCAAAGAATCTCAAAAACAACTCAAAACAGACATCTCAGACCACTAAGGGCACTCAAGAGGATTTGTATCAGATAACAACGTCCATATGTTGATATAAGCATTTTTCATTTAATGAAAATAAGGTATGTGGTGGACCAATAAACTTCATAGCCACTGAACTAAAACAATTCCATTGAGATTGCTCATCAGACTATCCATATAGAGCTACAAAACCTATTTATCACGTTATTTTAGTCTCTTTATCCTCCTTCCCAATACACGACATAGAAAACGTGTAAAAGGATAAATATAGGCCTCAAATTCCTCCAAGGAAAACCTCATGAAAGTTACAGCCCTTGCAAAGCATGCTTGACAGAAGTAAGGGCAATACTTATGCAAGCATGCTGTCTGAGAAAATAAAAATCAGTTCGAAGTGAAAAAAATTATCATTTGGACTGTCGGTTCATCAGTCATCACCTCTTCAAATTATTTTTATCAAAGCGTTAGATTCAAAGGGACATCAGATCTAAAATTTTCAGCAAGCTCTGAGCCATTGTAGGTTTTGCACTCTCTCTATCTCTCACATGTGTGCAGCATGTGCAGATGCTTGGTCACCCATGCTCCCAATTAGACACAAAAGTTCAATTGGAATGCATCATGAAGTAGGCAGCTTAAGCATTTACGTATCACAAATGTGGTTAACAATCCACAAACCGAGAGGAAGTTTCTTTGTCTTTCTCTTTATGTATAATTTAAGTCAGTACAAGGCTTACAAAGAAGTTAACTGTACAGTTAAGAAAGTGAGGAGACTCACCACATGCGGCCATGTCAACACATTTTCACCTGATATTGTTTCAACAGATGGCTCTTCAAATGCACACTGTTTTGCTAACGGCAACATGGCAGACACTGCAACAAAAAACAACAGTAAGTTAGCAAATACCATCCCAAGTCCTCATCGCTTCTTAAAGAGTTTCACAAAAACATAATACTCACTATCGATTCCATAAACATTTCGCCAAAACTCAATGCTTTCACGGTATCTGTCTGGATGTGTGACAGGTGCCATGTACAACTGCAGGCAGTATTTAGAGGAAATCACCATTACAAAACACATGAGTGCTTGTTTCACAAGTAAGAAACTGTATACTTCAAAAGTGGGAATCTGCTGAACATTTAACCTAATCACATATGTTGAAAGGAAATAATTTAGAATAGAGTAATTTATAGTGCAAATATAGAAAGTTTTTGTATGTTACCTAAGTTAGGAAAATTTGTCTTTTTGTACAGCTAATACTTTCTAAATAGGCTAATCTCTTTGCTATACATATAGGCTGTAAATCCTTGTATTATTCACGACAATACAACTATTATTTTTTTCCCATAATGTTTTAAATGGTATCAGAGCCAACCCAGTTCCTGTGAGAGAAAAACAAAAAACCCTAGATAGCCTCCACATCCAACCTAGCTGCAAATCAGCAGCCACAACTCCACCATGTCTGAAATCGAATCTGACTCCACAGCTACTAATCCTTCTTCATCAACTTCAGCCAATCGGCAAAAAACTTCAGCCTTGGTTTCCTCTGAATCTCATTCAGTTCAAATAACTACTATCCGGCTGAATGCAGATAATTTCCTACACTAGTCTCAATATGTGCTCATGTATATTCGAGGAAGAGGGAAAATTGCCTACATTACTGGAGATAAGAAAGAACCTGCCATTGATGATTAGACATACCCCACATGGGAAGTCGAAAACTCTATGGTAATGACATGGTTGGTAAACTCCATAGAGAAAAACATTAGCTCCAACTGCATGTGCTATCGCACAGCTAAGGAACTTCGAGACAATGTCAATCTTATGTATTCGGATTTGGGAAATCAGTCCCAAGTCTATGAATTGATGTTAAAACTTGGAGATATCCGTCAAGGCAAAGACAATGTTACTAAATACTTCAATTCACTAAAACACCTATGGCAGGATTTAGATTTATTCAATACTCATGAGTGGAAATATTCTGATGATTCCAACTATTATAAAAAGAAGGTTGAAGATGACTGGATCTTCAAGTTTGTTATTGGTTTGAATGTTGAATTTGATGAAATTAAGAGGAGGATAATAGATAGACAACCTCTTTCCTCTATTCGAGAAGTTTTTTCCGAAGTCCATCGTGAAGAGAGTTGCAATCTTGTCATGCTTGGCAAGAAGACTTAAGTATCATTCTTGAGAATTCTGCTTTGGCTGTAGGTGAAGTCTATGCTAGCAACCATGAGAAAGACTCGTGTATGGTGTGATCATTGTAATAAGCCAAGACACACGCGTGAAACATGCTGGAAACTTCATGTTAAACTAGCCAATTGGAAGGGCAAGCATGAGGGGAAGTTTAAACAGCAAACTAGTCGAATGAGTGTTCCCACTACACATGAAACTGAAGCTATCCTATTCAGTCCTTAGCAAATGGATCATATTATCATGCTGCTAAAATCTAACACTACATTATCGGTTACTCCTAATGTTTCTCTTGCACAAAAAAATAGTGATTTAAATGCCTTAGTTTGTTATTCTCTTTTGCAATCTGCTCCTTGGATAATAGATTCAGAAGCATCTGACCATATGACTAGTTTTTTCAATTTATTTAATACATATAATCCTTGTTCTGGACAAGAAAAAATTCGTATAGTAGATAGGTCTTATTCTATAGCAGGCAAAGGTTTGATCAAATTATTATAAACTCTCTTAAATTGTTCTTCGTGTACCTAAACTTGCTTATAATCTTCTATCTATTAGCAAAATATCCAAAGATTCTAATAGCCGTATTAATTTCTTTGATTCCCATTGTGTTTTCTAGGATCAGAATTCGAGTAGGAAGATTGGTAGTGCTAGGATGATAAATGGTCTCTGCTACTTTGAAGATGAAGATTCCAAAAATAAAATACCTTAAGAGTTCAGTAGTGTTAGTTCTACCTTGATTAAGGATAAAATAATGCTTTAACACTATAGATTAGGACATCCTAGTTTTTTATATTTTAAGAAACTGTATCCTACTTTATTTCTTGGAATAGATAGTTCCAATTTTCATTGTTAACATTACATTTTATCAAAACGTCATAAGAATACCTATTATTCAAAACCATATCAGCCTTCTCGGCCTTTTTACCTAATTCATAGTGATGTTTGGGGGCCTTCAAGAATTCACAATTGTTCTAAAAAAAAATGGTTTGTGACTTTTATTGATGATCATACTCGATTATGTTGGGTATATTTCATGAATGATAAATTTGAAGTTCAAATGTTATTCAAAAGTTTTTATACAATGGTTGAAACACAATTTCATACAGATATTGGAATTTTGCATACTGATAATGGCACTAAATATTTGAATAATACTCTTGGCAGCTTCTTCAAAGAAAAAGGTATTCAACATCAATCTACTTGTGTTGATATACCATAGCAAAATGGCATTGCTGGAAGAAAAAATAGACATTTACTAGAAGTCGCTCGTGCACTAATGTTTTCTATGTATATTCCTAAATATCTTAGAAGTGAAACTATTTTAACTACATCATATTTAATTAGCAAGATGCATACTCATGTTCTGAATGTTTCAAACATTATTTTCCTATTACTCAAATTTTTTCACACTTACCTCTTAAAATTTTTGGTTGCATAGATTATGTTTTTATTACTTAGAAGGATCGGTCGAAACTTGATCCCCGAGCTGAAAAATATGTTTTTGTTGGTTATGCAGCAAATAAGAAAGGATATAAATTTTTTCATCCATTAACTCCCGAAATTGTTATTACTATGGATGTTGCATTTCTTGAAAATCAGCACTATTTTCGAAATAATTTTCTTAAAAGGGAAGAAACTAGATGAAGAAAATAGTTGGGATATACAACAGATTTTATCCAAATTTGTACCTCCTAATCCTATCATGCCAAGTATATAGGAATCTTTGACAAAAGGAGAAATACTACCAAATAATTCTAAGGAATATAAGCCTGAGATTATTGTTTATACAAGGAAGAAAAGTCATAAAAAGGGTAGAGAATCATCTATACCCGAACACCACCAAGACAATCTAATGCTCTGAATTCAAGTTTAGGTAATATTGATTCCTCAGCTTTCATCTCCTTTTATTCCTAATAATTCTATTGAAACAAAATATAATGATCTAGATATACCTACAGCCATTACGAAAGGAACTTGTTCTTGTACTAATCATCCCATTGCAAAGTATTTGTCATATGATAGGCTCTCTCACAAACACAAGGCATTTATATAAAAAATTTCTAATTTGTTTATCTTGAGAACCATTCAGGAAGCACTTGATGATCCAAAGTGGAAATTAGCTGTTATTGAGGAGATTGATGCACTAAAGAAGAATGGGACTGGGGAGATAGTGGAATTACCGAAAGATCAAAAAATAGTCACATGTAAATGGGTTTTTACCGTAAAATACAAGGCGGGTGGAAGCGTAGAAAGATATATAACAAGACTAGTTGCTAAGGGGTTTATTCAAACTTATGGTATTGATTATCAAGAAACTTTTGCTTCAGTAGCAAAAATTAACTCCATTCATGTGTTATTGTCTCTTGCAGCCAATTTTAATCAGCCTCTACAACAACTAGATGTAAAGAATGCTTTTTTGAATGGTGACTTAGAAGAAGAATATTCATGTGCCTTCCTCCAGGTTTTGAAAGTACCATTGGCTAAAATAAAGGGTGCAAACTTAAGAAATCTTTGTATGGTCTTAAACAGTCTCCCAGAGCCTGGTTTGAATGTTTTGGAAAGGCAGTAAAAGGCTATGGACATCGCCAAAGTCAATCTGATCATACTATGTTTTATAAACATTATGATAAGAGCAAGATTGCAATTTTAATTGTATATGTGGATATGATTTTGACAGGTGATGATCTTGATGAATTATCAATGCTAAAGAAGAGATTAGCTAAAGAATTTGAAATTAAAGACCTTGGAGTGATGAAATACTTCTAGGTATGGAGTTTGCATTATCAAGAGAAGGTATATTTGTAAATCAAAGAAAATATATCCTTGATTTACTCAATGAAACTAGCCTTTTGGGATATTAAGCAGTCGAGACTCTAATTGAAGCTAATTTGAAGCTAAATCCAGCTACTGCTGAAAATCTGATTGAAAGGAAAAAATTTCAACGTCTGGAAGGTAAGCTTATTTACTTATCACACACTCGTCCTAATATTGCATTTGCTGTGGGCATGGTAAGTCAATTTATGCATGCTTGGAGCAAAGAACACTATGATGTTGCAGATAGAATTCTAAGATATCTTAAAGGGACACTTGGAAAGGGGTTAATGTTTAGAAAGAGTGGTAATGTTCAGATAGAAGTTTACACTAACGCTGATTGGGCAGGAAGCATTGCTGATTGGCAATCAACATCAGGTTATTGCACTTTTGCTAGTGGAAATTTAGTCACTTGGCGAAATAAAAAGCAAAGTGTTGTAGCATAGAGTAGTGTTGAAACCGAATTTAAATCTCTTGCACATGGCACCTGTGAGATAATATGGATTAAGAGATTACTAGAAAATTTATAGCTCTCAGTTTTATTTCCTATGAAGGTGTATTGTGATAGAAAAGCTGCGATTTCAATTGCTCATAATCCAGTTCTTCGTGATAGGACTAAGCATATCGAAGTTGACAAATATTTTATCAAAGAAAAACTTGAGAATGGTTTAATCTATGTTCCTTACATACCTACAGGTAGCTGATATTTTCATCAAAGGATTGCCTAAAACTCAATTTGATTCTCTTGTAAGTAAGTTAGCCGTGGAAGACATTTACAAGCCAGGTTAAGGGAGAGTGTTGAAGGAAATAATTTAGAATAGAGTAATTTTAGTATAAATATAGAAAGTTTTTGTATGTTATCTAAGTTAGGGAAATTTGTCTTCTTGTTCAGCTAATACTTCCTAAATAGGCCAGTCTATTTGCTATATATGTAGGCTGTAACTCCTTGTATCATTCACAGCAATACAACTATTATTTTCTTCCATAATATTCTACAACATAACATAAATGGAAGCAAAAAAGAGTAATAAATACACATAACACTGTGGTATAAGACAACTTGCCAAGTAGGAAGAAAATTTACAGTTGCATTTGATGGAAGGATAAGGCCTCCACGCTTTAGCCACCGATCTCTGGCAGTGATGACACTTCCCAGCATGCTCTACAAATTAAGAGAAAAAGAAGTCTTCAAGATGGTAAACATTGCATGGAATAAGGTAGAGGGAGGAAAGTACACCTGCCCACAAAAGGTTAGATGCCATAATGTCATGCCCATGCTAAATGCATTGGATCTGGATTTGCTAATTACAGATATATAAAATGCAAAATTTTAACAGTCACCTCATATAAAAGCATGTAGCCCATCCATTCTGAAATTATTACATCAACCTCCTCATCAATTTCAACATCCTGCAGAAACCATTATCACATTGAAGTGACCAACTGATAGGAAGTGAATAAGTTAAAGCAAGAGGAAGAAATGTATTTCAGTCAGCGCTGGTTCTCTCCCTCAAATTTACATGAAACTTTCCCTATCAGACTTTGAAATGTATAGACATACGTGCACAAGGCTACCATTTGTTAATTAACAAACTTGTGCACTCAACCAGTGGCCCAGTTTGTCAAGCCAATAAACAAAGCAGAGAACATGAAAGTTCAACCCTCATGCAAACTATGTGACATAAAGGTGCAGCCAGGCCTCCACTGCAAAAGTCATGTATGAAGACAGACAAAGGTTGGCCCCATTGCTTTACCTTTCAGAGCACTATAGAAATCAGGCAGTGCCTACTTAACTATGCTAGCCATGTCCAATTGGCACGCTCTTCATATCTACCATTCCTCAATAACTGAACACCATGAATTTACAACAATGTTGCAGATGAACCTTGAATTCCCCAAATTACCACAGCCTTAACTCACTCTATCTGCCAATTTACAAGTTATGCAAATGAATTTGTACATGCCCCAAACTGTCATAGTCAATGAATTTCCTCTATCTCATCACCAGTACAAAGCAACTGTTGTATGCTACATCGTTCACTAGAACAAGCATTCCCGAAACAGAAAAACCAACAGTAACACTCCAACATTTTCTGATCGATATCATAACCACCTGTCTACAGAATTGACACGAATGATGATTTGGTGCAATATGGTCAAAAGCAAGTGGTGATAGTCTCGTAAAAAAGTATGTTTTGCTCCGGGAGAAGAGTTTGATTCCAATTTGTCAATAATCAATGTTTGCATTTTTTTTTGTACTGAAGTGTAGCAACTGATATATGCTTGCTATTTTATAAACAATCTAACTGATCAAATAAGTAAACTCAAATCATTTGCATGATAAATTAAGACTTCAGATTATTTGGGAATCCATTTGAGAGCATAGCCATCACATAAGCTATTTATACAGAAGCCCACCTCAACTCGTCCATGTAATACAATGACCTTGTCAGATAAATTATTCGCCTTCACAACTTCATTTGCCTGTTTAAAGAAAAGGCAAAATCAATTCAAAACTGTATCTTAACTTGGTTCTTATACAGTTAAGAATCTTATAAGAATTAATAAAATCAATTCAAAAGGCACACCATGCAAACCCTACAAGCTTTCACATGATTAATAGCCATCACAAATATTTATCGAAGACCAAAATGTGGAACAGCTAACCATATCCCACTCAGGAAAAAAGTCACACGAGAAATGATTACAAGAAACATAAAACACAAACTATGATTCCATAATCTCTAAGATAAGCAATTCCTGAATAATAATTTGTGAATGTTGTCTTATATTTATCAACAAGTTGCAATTTCAGATGCAAGCTGGGGACAAGATATCTTGCAGGCAGTGAATTTTTCTGTGCATCAATTATGCTCGGCAGTATAATTTAAAGTTTGTTGAGAAATTATGCCAATTTTAGAATACTAACTTGTATAATTTGCACACCACTGATCATGTGATGTGATGTTATGAACTCTCTTTTCATTTTGACAATTGAACACCATATTAGACACATCAACATCTTTTTTTCTCCTCCGAATAAGAGTGAGAGTATCTATAAAATCCTTTTTTATTTGAAAAGGAATGTTCAAACTCATAACAAACCACATAGAAAGTAGCAACCAAATAACTAAATAACACACTGAAAATGTAATGCAAAAAGATGAGCATAAGCGTAACCAAGTACCTGCACGGCAATATCACTTGCATCAACTGCATATACCTGGTGAAACAATATCTTTCAAATGTGAGGCACTTGTAGATTGAAACTCATGCTAGTGCAGTGGTAAAATTGTGGCTGCGTGTCTATCACCTTAATCGAATGTTGAACAAAAGGAAAAAATCAAAGCACTTTCTCTAAAAACACAACAAAATACAGCAAAACCTAGTTTTCTGGAGACAATTTAACAAAGCACAGAATGTCGTAAGGAATCAACTGACAATGACCACTTCAGGAATTCATAACAGAAATATAAAATTTCTAAGTTGGAGTGATGTGTGTGTGTGTGTGTGTGTGTGTGTGTGTGTGTGTGTGTGTGTGCGCATCAAGCATCAATTATAAAATATGAATATTGCTACAAAGAAGGAAAATTATGTCAACATTCAAATATTAGCATTTTCCGCACAACATGACGACCATGTAGCATGAGAGTTCAATAGTTGGATTCATCTGTATCACAGACAATGCTTATGAGACGATACCATGCAGCATGGAGTGCAAGCAACAATAATCGTTTTTTGGACATAAGTGATGATTATACATGCAATTCATTTATTCAGTTCCAAAGTTACTAGAAACTTCATTGCCATGTAAGAGAATTGCTCCGATATATCTTACCCGTTTCGCACCAGCCTGAGCACAAAATATAGAAAGAATTCCAGTGCCACAACCAACATCCACGACAACCTGCACAAGCATTCAAATTGAGCAATCAGGACACATACTGCATAAAATATTCCTACAATAAGCAGAAAATTGATGTTCAACATATAAATTTGAAGCCTTTTTATATCATTACATGACATAATATATTTTATGGTCTTAATGCATATGAAATCATACATGTTATATAAACTCTATGCCAAAGTGCCAAGCAGACACAAAGCTTCCTGCGACATAGGTTTACATCATGAAGAGCACAAAATCATAGATTAACAACTGAATACTGACCGCAATGGCATTACCTTGCCTTCAATCAAACTCTGATGGTGAAAGATTGCATCCCTATAAGTGTTTGTCCGTACATGATCCTACATAGATATTGTATCATTAATAAAAAAACACTCTGATTACAAAATGAAAGCCCACGAAAGAAACAAATTCCTAACTTCCAAAGACAAAGGATTTCACAATTAACATTTTCAACTAGCCAAGCCATCTCAAGCATTCCAAAAATGATCAAACACACAAAACTATTAAGTGAAACCCCACAAAAGCTATCAAAACCTTTCGAGGAAACAAAGCATAAACCCCCATTTCACCTTCAAAAAACAGAATTTCAACACTAACAAGACACAGAAACATTTTCAATCAACCTTAAACTCTAAAACCTTCACTTACACATCAAACAAAACAGCCACTAGAGAACCTAAAAACCTAAACCCTTAATAAAAAAACATAACAATTTACAAGAAGAACAAAAAATCAGTTTATAAAACTAAGTACATTTTAATAAAGATTACACCTTTTTCATTTACCTTAATCATCTCCTCATGGATACCAACATGAGCATAAGAGTTAAAGTAAGCCTTGTCAAACTCCGTACAAGGAGTGACCTTTTGTTCCTCACCAAACCCATCACGTGACTTTGCACGTACTCTTCTACCTCGGTCTCTTTGACTCATCCCGTGTTGCAGTTGTTGCTGCTGCTGCTTGTTGTCTTGGTGGTAGCCGTTACTGTCCCCTGAGCTTGAGTACATTCTCGCCGCAAGTGAGAGACAGAGAGAGAAGTAACGGTGGCGTTTTATGGATGACCCGGGAAGGGTGTGGGTCAAGAGTTTGGATCTTGAAAATGGTGTTTGAATAAAAATGTGGGCTTTTCTTATTTTGATAAAAGCCCAGTTTGAATTTTTATGGATCTTTTCGTAATCATCATTTAAATTAAGAGGCCTTTTAAACTCTTCTTTCTTTATATAATTTTATTAATGGCTTGTTTGAGCGCCACTTTATTTTTATTTTTTGGAAAAAAATTATCGTAAGTTTAAAACAAAATAATATTATCCATGACTATACGAAAAAAAAAATTAATCCTATAACATTTTAGAATTAAAAAAAAAGGCAAGATTTCAGCATAAGGATTAAAAAAGGGTTTTCAAAAAAAAAAATAAATAATAATAATAATCTACTGGTCAATCGACATATTTGTTACCTTTTGTGTAAAGAATTACAAATCCTCCAACATACACTTTGTATTAAATGCTACTTAAGCATTTTACTATTTCCTAACCGTGTAAACATGACATATATAATATTTTAAATTAATTCATCTTGTGCCTAATAGTTAGGAATAATTTCCTTCTTTTTTTTTCTCCAAAGAATTGTAGCTTTTTATTTTATGTTTAAAAATGAGAGTAAATGAGAGGGACTTTTCTGAAGATATAATTTTATATAACTTATGGGGATTTGTACTAAATAATTCTACGTTCTCATAAAATGTTTATTTTAAAGAATTTAGGATCTATTTTATTAGATAAATATCTTTATAATCACAATATAGTCAATCTAAGTAGCAAGATTTTAATTTCTAAAGCACATGTAAATTTCAAATGACTTTGATGATTAGTAGAATAAGAAACCTAATTTTAGTGATAAACTTTTTTTAGTCCTCATTTGCACAAAATCTTGCAATTTCATCACTAAAATCAGGTTTGTTATTCTACTAATAAAAAATTAAATTAAATAAAGAGCACGACTTCTTCTCTCTGTTTTTTTTTTTTTCCCTTCAAGTTAGGGGTCAGAGCCTCAAATGAATACTTAATATTTTTCACTTAAAAAAATTGTGGTTAATCTAACAAAAACTATAGGGAAAGAAAAAGGAAAAAGAAAATATATTTACAAAATTTAAGCCAAAAAGACCTGAAGTGGAAAAAAGAAAAAAGATGTATGGACCCACAAGACAAGGAAACTTAAAACCCTTTCTTAAACCCCATAATGACAAAATCCCCCTAACCCTGTCTCTCTCGCCTTCTCTTCGCAGCCTCTCTCGCTCTCATTCGTTCTCTCTGGTGACCGATTAAACTGAACTCAAGAGACAACAATGGCGGGGCTGGTACCTCCAGGTACAACGTTGTTAGGCAATGAAGCAACATCAGCAGCAGCCAAAAAGATCAATGAAGTACAGAAAAAAATTGATTACATGGACCTTCCTTGTCCAATTCCTTATGAAGAACTCCATCGTGAAGCACTCAGTTTAGTTTCTAATCTCTTTCTCTCTCTTTATCTTCGTCTCTTGATCTGTTTATTGATATGGTTTTTGTTTTTGTTTTTGTTTTTGTTGGTTTAGTGATTTAATCTGACTGTGAAACCCTAATAGACTTAAGTGTTTGCTGGGCCTTTTTGGGGGCTTTTGGTTTGTAAAGTTTGGTCGGTGAATCAAAGATGGGTTTTTGGTCTTGTGTTGAGAGTTCTGTGTGGAAAGCGAAGTGGGACTCTGTGAGTTTGAGATTTTAAGGAAGTAGTTTCGGGTTAGTGGCATTTAGTGGATTTTGATGTTTTAATGTCTTTCAATTGCAATTCTTGCAATTATATTGTGGTTATTTTTGTCAAAAGTGGAAAAAGAAATTAGTTTTTTATTTTGAATTTGGATTTTTCTATGAAAAAAAAGGTTGTGTTTGATTCTGGTTTTATGATTTGAGTTTGGTATGAACTAGATTGCTGTTTTGATAAAGAGCAGATGTTGGTTAGCTCTTGGTGCTATCAAGAGATTTGTCTTTTGAAACTTGTACATTTATGGTGCTCTCAGAGGTCAATTGCGCTAGCAAATCCTGTATGGAAAGGGCAGCATGCTTTAAGCTTTCGGGACTGATTCCTTTAGAGTGTCACATTCATACCATCTCGTGCTGCATGTTGAATGTTATATATTAATTACAGTCACTTAAGATTTAGTTGTTGAATCATGTTGTGTATTTAGTGGCAATGCATTTCATTATAGAAGTTTCAGATGGAGAGTTCTCTCCTTTTTAATATGTTTGATTGTTTTTTTTCAAAAAATGTCTGTGCAGTGTCTTTAAAGCCTGAGCATTTTGAGGGGATGCGTTTTGATTTTACCAAAGGACTGAATCAGAAATTTTCACTCAGCCACAGGTAGTTTTGGCTTCTTTTTGTTTCAAATCCTTTTCAAACAACTTCATTCATTTTTTCTTCTGGAGTTTGGTGCTGATTTTTTTCACTATCTCTCAGTGTAATGATGGGACCAATGGAAATTCCTTCTCAATCTTCAGAAGCCATCAAAATCCCAACTGCTCACTATGAGTTTGGTGCTAACTTTATAGACCAAAAGGTGGGCTGTCACTGCCGTATTTGCCTTTCCAAATCATTTACTAATGGATCCTCTGGGGTATCATATCATAATTTTAATTAAGTGTCTTTATTTGGTCTCCGTAGACAATGCTTATTGGGAGGGTTTTGACCGATGGGAGACTAAATGCAAGAGTGAAGTGTGATTTGACTGATGATCTTGCTTTGAAGGCTAATGCTCAGGTAAAATATATGCTCATTTCACCTTATCTTTGGACTTCGTTTCCTCCCTATCCCTGCTATTTTTTTTTTTTTTAATGCGACAGTCTTTTCCTGTGCAGCTTACAAACGAGCCACACATGTCTCATGTCATGCTGAACTTTGATTACAAGGTGTATCTCTCTTTACCATGTAAATGTGCATATATATTTCCATATTCATTCTCCTTCACAAACAATGAAAGTTGTTGTGCCAGACTTTTTTTTACTTTAAGCATCTGTATCAGTGTCAAGCGTCTTCAAGATGAAAGATCATGTTTTTTTTTTTCCTTGTGTATACTGACATGAATTACTTCATACAGGGTAAAGACTACAGGAGCCAGTTGCAACTAGGAAATGGTGCCTTATTCGGTGCCAGTTACATTCAGGTAATAACGATTGCTGTTAGTAAAATGATATATGGATTTGTAACATCGTGAGTGTGAGTGAGTAGTTAATAAGCTGAAGGGTCATTCTCAATGAATAAACAGAGCATATCTTCAACTGTACGTTGGATATATGATTGGTCTTGGAAATGAGCTCTATAATTTAGTTGCTAGGATTCAAAACATGCTGTTTCTCTTAAAACAGTTTATATAGCTAGGTTTCTTTTCCAGTTACTTAATGGTGGTGTCAGTTATCATTTTCTTTTGTCACTCTCAATACCTTACAAATGGCTTCACCTCTTCCTCTTCTTCCTCCTCTCCAGTTGCATTTTAATTATTTTATGCTCTTTGTGATTTTGTTTATTGGATCTTCACAATGCAGAGTGTGACCCCTAGTTTGTCCTTGGGTGCTGAAGTGTTTTGGGCTGGTCAGCATCGAAAGTCTGGTATTGGATATGCTGGTCGGTATGAGACAGACAAGATGGTAATTGGCTTGGCACTCATCCTTTATTGCTTGTTTGAGCTCATTGACCTATCATTGATCGTTGTGTAAGAGTAACTATGTAAGGTTCCTTGGCTCTTGTAACATGCATCGATGTACCAGCTAAGTTGCATATGATTTCTTGTTTCTAAGTGTTGGAGTGGCATTGAATACTTGGCATGCCCTTTTCAAGGCACTGGACAAGTATCCTGTTTTTCAATTCCACAATTGAAAGCTAATGGACCTAGTGAGTTGATTTCCATGTGCAAGATATCATATGGCTCACTGAGAGAAAACAAAACGCTGAATGAAATTAGATGTAGAAAAACATAATCTGGAGCAGATTCTACTTTTATGTCCACTGTGTAGAACTAAATGTCATTCATAATTTTTACTATCATGTGATTATATGCAATTCTTGATAACGAAAGAGATGTCTAGTTTAGCCATGATTAAAGAGAAAAGGTTATTGGTCTTTGCGTAGTTTAAGTGAAACTCCAAGCTGGTAAACCCTGTGCGTTCACCATTTGTTATAGATTCTTCAGTTCATCACTCTTGCACAAACTTGTATTGGAATTCTAACTTGTACTTGTGCATTTCTTGCTTTGACTGGATAAAATTACTTCTTTCCCTACAGGTTGCCGCAGGGCAAGTTGCTAGCACTGGATTGATGGCTTTGAGTTATGTGCAGAAGGTTTCCGAGAAGGTAGTCAGTTTCTTGAGGAAGCTGTAATTTGTTATCTAAATAAATTTCTTACATAATCTTTTCTGTTAATATTAAGGTTTCACTAGCAACAGACTTCATGTACAACTACTTCTCAAGAGATGTGACAGCTAGTGTTGGCTATGATTATGCCCTCAGACAAGTAAGTGGAGCAATGCCAATCTTTTTCCTGCTTAGAAACTTGAATTTTAGCACATGGATACCTGTTTCATTTTAGCACGCTTTTCATATGCTTCTTGTGTGCAGTACTTTATCTACGAAAGTGGTTGCAATAGATAATGGATATTTTAAATCCTACTCTATGCCTTCTTTACAGGCAAGGTTGATAGACTTTGACTTGGGAGCTTAATCTTAGTAGACCTGCTTAAATCCAAGGCTCGTTTTGAGCTTTATCTTAATAGGCCTTTAGCTTAAATCTGAGGATCGATTCTAGTTAGTCTGAAATTATTATTTTCTCAAAACAGTTTGCATGAACAAATTGAATTTGTGGTTGTGGTGCCTCTGGGTTGAAAGGATGTTGTTTGTCATTTAGTTTTAACTTGTGCTTTATTTTAGAGTTGAGTGCTTGCTTGCATATCTCAGTTGTGGCAACTGGGCCAGACGATGGCTTGACTCACTGGGTTTGGGCTCTCTGATATGGTTCTGAAGTAAGGATTTAGACAGCCTCTGTTTTTGCTAGTTGGTAAGACATGATCCTCCAACATAGCCTTAGCACTAGCGAACATCTTTCCTTGAGCCATTCACGCACCATGCTGTGATATATTAATATTTCATTATGTTCAGTATCAACGTATCATTGCCTGGGTTGTCTACATATCCTCTGACCTGTAACCTTGATCGTCATTCCTGATCTCAAATTTTAAACTTGCCTAGATACGAGACAAACCAAATTGGTACTTATTTTGGTGGTTGTTTCAGGCTCGTTTGAGAGGAAAGATTGATTCCAATGGCTGCACATCCGCTTTCTTGGAAGAACGCTTGAATATGGGTCTCAATTTTATTCTTTCTGCAGAGGTATGGGAGCATTTTATCTTTAGATTCTTAGCATGATGCTTCTGCTTTCTTTGGCACTTCTCTGATAAGTTATGTTTTGTCAGTTTCTACTTGCATTTATATGTGCACTTCGTTCGAACAGATTTTTCCAATGCATGATCCTGTATCTTCTCTTCTTTCTTCACAGTTTTTGAGTAATATACATTTTGTAACCAGTTTTGAATTTACATTTTGCAGTTGGATCATAAGAAAAAGGATTACAAATTTGGATTCGGGTTGACAGTGGGCTAATTTAAAGAACTGAATTCATCCGATCTTGTATCGTCAAATTTCGCATAAAACTTGTTGCTAGCTACTCGGCAAATTTCCTGGGTCAACCAGCCTTTCGTTTGAACATTGAGAAATCCTTTTCTTCTTTTACTTTTTAACTGTTTTGGGCAAACATTATTTGTGCAGCAGCATCAGGTGCAGCTGCGGAACAGGTTTAGCTGCAAGTATTCATTGCATTGGTAGTTTGAATGGTATAATTTTGCCTGCATTTCTATAGCTGTACTATTCAAGTATCAAAGAAAAGCATGGATTCTTTTAATTTCGATTCAGTCACATTTTCTTCATATATGTTTTTTTTAAATTGATGTGTCTTGATTCCAAATCAATGAATTATATATAGTCAGAAATGCTTAACGATTTAACTGAACATGCCATCTTGAATTCCTCCTTTACTTTGATTCAACTTCAACCTTATTTATTTCACTGATGGTCGGCACAGTATTAACAGCAGGCATGGATATCATCTGACAAATCAGTGGACTCTTTGTATTTTTTGGCTTGTCTTAGTTGGATTTTAAATCACGCTTACTTGTTCCTCAGAACAGAGTGTTGACTATAAGGATGTTTTTTGGGCAAAAATCATTTTTATTAGCAGAAGGCAGCAGCCATGTGTATTTTATTAGCAGCAGAATCCGAGGCAAGATCCAATGTTACAACAGGATATGATGGAACAGCCTGCAGCGAAACAGATTCTTAAGCAAACGATAACGTCAAAGAAGAACTCTGCTTTGCAAGCACGAACATGTGGGGGTCATCCTGCCCTGAAAGGAGTTTTGAACTCAATTTATTCCTTGATAGAATTACAAGACAGAAAGCAGAATTCATGGAAGATTTGTAGCTCTAAATCTCATATTGGCAATGCCGATTGTGAAGGCATTGCAAATTTGCAAAGATCTTGATGGCAGCCTAATATTTCATATAGTTCCCTAATATAAAAATTTGCAAGTAATAAAATTTAGCATAAAAATAAAACCTAAACAATGTTAAAGATATGCTATGTAGCCCGACTTTCCAGTTTTCATATGACAGACTTTTAAAATCTTTCCTGCTCCTCAGAAGCCTTAAATTTATTTCTAGGGACACTGCTATGTTGATTGCCCTATTGTATATGTTTATTTTGTTCCTAATTTTGTTACATACGAATCCATATTATTATTTTTTTTGGTTTTGACATAAGTTGGATTGAGGAAGGACATTGCCTCAGTATAAGGTTTAAGTTGTGCACTGATGTATACATGAATTGTAGTAGGACTAGCGTTCATACTTTGTTCTTCAAACATATTAGACTGATTATCTTGGAAGGGTCACAGTAAAGCTCCTAAAGAAAGGCTCAGTTATTATTATTATTATTATTATTATTATTATTAATTTTTGCTAACGAGTTGATGCAATCTAGTTCAAAAGAATCCAATTTTTTTTTTTTTTTTTCAAATCTTACCATCCAACACATGAATGGCTTAGTAATCAAAGGATATCCTCCTTCCATCATAAATACTAACTTCAATCATTATGAAGGTATTACAACTACCAATTTTAACCATTGTGAAGGTATTACAATTTTTTTTTTTACTCTCTCAATGCTATTTTCTCTCTGGTGTCTCTCACTATTTGTATTTGTTTTTCTTGATTAGTGAACCGTTGTTTCTACGAGCTACAACATTGGCTCTTGATATCTTAACCTATCGGTCGTTCCATTTATTCTCAAAAACCCTCAAACACAACTATCTATCCTGGAAGGAGGAGTTCCACCCAGAATCTTCTCTGTAATCTCTTCTGGTTAGTGAAAGTTTCAATAATTATTATATTATAGTTGTAATAGCGATTCTCTACTTAGTGATAACATTGGAACATGTCCCATAAGAATAGCTAGCTCCTCCTCTTCTGGTCATGGTACTCATGGCCATGAAGACTCTTCGGGGTTAAAAAACATCCATCTCTACGTCGCTTAGACTCCTGTTGAATCGCCTACACAAACACAAAGTAATGATTTATATCACAAGAACAAGATGCTTTTGATTCGGCATGATAGAAAGGGCGACCCATAAATTTTTATGTTCCTCGTGATGAGGCTCCTACTCCCAGCACGCCGAAAAACTACGTAATAGCAGGCATTTATCTTCCTGATGAATTGAATTCATTTCGAGGTCTTATCTATGATATTGACTCAAGAAAATGGTCCTTGGATTGGAAAATCCTTTATGAATTGGAATTGAGATGGAAGGTACAAGCATGGGCTGTTTTGGCTCGGCATGATCCTCGATGGTGCCCCAACTCCTTGTCTACTCGTTGTTTCCCGAAGCCCTTTTATCTCTAAGATCCACCGACTATTTCAATGGAAATTTATGATGATTCTTTTTGTGTATGGGAGGGTGGAGCATTTTGTTTCACCATGACATTATCTATTTGCTCAAATGGCTTAACCAGCTGTCTATCTTTATGGATGTGACTTTAGTTTTAAGTTGTGAACAGTTAAAAAAATAATCACGATTGTTATAACGAATCACGATTTATTATAATATTAAAATAACAATAATGAAACGTTTTGAAATCATTACATAACGATCGTTATATAATGTAAGGATCACGGTTTACTATAATATTAAAATAACAATAATGGAACGTTCTGAAATTATTGTATAACGATCGTTATATAATGTAATGACTGTTATTTAAAACTACGGGTATCAACACTCTCAAAAAGAATGTTTCCGACTGTCCCATTGAAGGTTTTCCATCAGATTACTTGCCTGGTCCTGGATGTCTTCATGTTCTATAATTAAATCTGTTGTTGCTCCTCTAAAGCCGAATATTTATTCAGTGTTTGCGTAGCGCGGCTCTATCAGCAGTGGTAGAATTGGAGTGATATTTTCTTGCAAGTTATTTTTCTAGGTATAACTCGGTTTTGGCTAGTGAGATATTCGTGAGTGTGGTTAATTTGTGATCGTAAACCCTATATTCGATAATAAAGTTTGTGTGGAGCAGACATTGCTGAACCATGTTCGTTCTCAGGCTAGGATGGAAGCTAAAGAAAGAAAGGATATAACAGTTTCAAAAAGGTGTTTAAATGTGAAAAGTCCTACGATCAGTTTTGGATATCCATGAACTATATATCGACATACCATGAAACTTTGCCGCTTGAAGATTTCTTTTTCCGATCTCCACTCTTCTTGGCTTTCCGTCTTGTCATCATTATTGAATTTTCTGACCGTGACTTCGTCCTTCAATTCTCTTTGTCAGAGGTGTTTTTATAATTTTTCTGATAAGCTCTCTGAATTGTGGTCGTCTTGCAATCTTGTTTGGAGAACTTCATCGATTATTCCTGCTTAGAGATCCAGTGTAAGGAGTGATCCTATTCTGAATTTTTGTGAAGAAAATCGTTTGGAACGTACAGCAAAAGAATATGATTTTTGTTTAAAAAAGATATATTAAACATGGTTTTTCATCTTCCCGATTTGAGTTACCTGATATGTTTTGAATTTTGACAAAAAAAAATATATATATATATATATAGTTGAATATTTTTTATAAATTTATCATCCTACCCCTTTCGTCGTTGATTTTGCTCTAAAAAAACATATCAATATTTTTAAATCAAAAGATAAAAATTCAATTTAACTATTTTGTCAAAGATATGAAATTTGTTTTGAAAAGGAATAGAAAACAATATCCGTTGTAGACTCAGAGCTTCGATTTTATTTTATTTTATTTTTTTCTGAAAAGAGTTAGATTAGTTTATTAAAAATTAAAGTAAAAATTAAAATATTATATCAACATTTTTTTACAGTAACTTATTGATAATATTAAACAGATCATCAGGTACAAGGTTTTGGTTTATCTTGTAAGAAAAGCATGAGAGGCATATGTGAGGAGAAAAAAGGGCCAACCTTTTGAGATTTTGAACAAGGGAGGGTGAGAGATGAGCAACAACCGAGGAAAGAAGAATCCCACAACAGCAAAAAATGAAGAAGAAGACCCAGTGGTTCAACTTCTTCAATCAGCACAAGACGAGTTACTTCTGAAACTCTCTGTTGATTCTCACATGTCTCGTGTCTCTCCTGATTATCTCCTCCCTGATCTTGACCGTCGATTCCAAGCCCTCAGATCCAGACCCACCTCCACCACCATTCAATCATCAGCGCAACCGCCACCAGCCATGATCTCCAAATCGCAAGCGTCTAAATCTCAAGAAGATGATGCTGACCCTGATGATCTGTTTGCTAGATTTGCTGCTCTCAAAGCTTCTGATAACACAAACAGCAGTACTGTTTTGGGTTCTAGTGGATTTGATCAAGGAGATGATGAAGAAGAAGATGAGGTTGAGAAGATTATTAAGTGGGCCAAGGACTCTGCTCGTCTCGACCCTTCTCCACCGTCTGATGAGGAAGAAGACGATCATGATGATAGTGACGACGAAGACGACGAAGACGACGGAAAAGTGGGTAATCGGAAATAGTACAAGTATCTTGCGGGGGCTTGCGGTGAGTTGTTTGATAATTTTTGTCCCATAGAGAATTTTTTTTTTTTTAATGATCTTGTTGTATAATAGTAATGCCTTTGTTTTATTGCAAATTGATTGATGATAAATGATTGTGAAGACTTTATAAATGTTTTATAATGACATTGTATTTTCTTAAAATCCCATTTTTGGATTTCAACAATGTAGAATGGAAACCAATTGATGTTGGAATTAAGAGCCTGTTACTGCAAATTACTTGACTTTAAATAGAATTAATGATGTTTATGTCTAATATTATAATAATATAATTCTACAAAGCCTAGAAATGTTAGAATTGTGAATTCTTGAAAGAGATTAAGAATGGAAGAGTCAGTTGGTAACCAATAAAATCATAATCATTACAAATTGCTGAAAAAACCCAAAAACTGCAGGAATAATGGCACTATGCTTTATAGCCAAGCTATGGAGTCATTCATTTTATGTAGGTTATTTTTGGTTAAAGAATCAGGCACAACATTCCATTCTTGGTTAAAGGAAATAGGATCAAAGACTTTGAATTAGAATTAGAATTAAAGGGAAATGTTAAAGTTATCGAAATCACTTTGTATCTAGACTACTGAATTTGAATGAAATTTTTGAGGATGTGATTTTGAAAACATCTTCTTATACAATTGGCGTTACTCTTTCTGAAACTGAGAATAAAAAAATTCAAAGGTTTTTTGTCCCATAAGCCATGACTTGAATGAACACAAAAGTTGCTTGTGAGTGCAAAGATAGCGAAAGCAAAACCAGAGAATGAATGCAAGCAGCCCAGAAGGGTTGCCATGGTCTGAAAAAAAAAAAAACAAAAAAACAAAAACCAGGAATAGTAAAGCAACAGAATCCAACATGAGGACAGGATATTATATCACAGTCTGCAGCACAATAAACTAGTAAGCAACTTTGCTTACCAGAATCAAGGCAGACCATAGCTTGCATAGTTTTAAGTAAGATTGCCTTTGTCCAGAAAAGAGCTTTGAATATAAGATTTAAATTCCATAGTTCAAATTGAAGCAACTTTTTCTCTGTCACTATATTTAATGTATGCCCTGATAGAATCTTAGGACAAGCTATAGAAAGAATCCATGTGAAATTTACACTACGTCAGCCGAAATGGTCATTCTACAGTCCAGTTACAAAATCCATCCAGAGAAAAAGACTACAACAATCTCAATCTGAAGAAAATCCTGATCGAATCAGCAGCTTTTGAGGTTCAAATACCAGCTCTAGTTCTGCCTATACGGGGTGATTCTTTTTTTAAAAAAAAATGAAAATTGAGATTAGATTAAAAGAAAAGGAGTCAGCTAGCAGCTGATGAAAAAAAAAAAAAACAAAAAGCAAGATAGTTTCAAACAAGAAACACTCAACTTAGTGGACAGCTCGAACTGCAACCAAACTATAAGATCATTGTATGTATGAAGACTACTCTTGGCTGCATTTCTTTCCCAAAGAATATGACTAAGGTAGTGTTAAGTTCCCTTGCGTAAGATCTCGTCACAGATCTATACACACAAAAATCTACCTCTTTTCCCTTGTTGGTGTTGGTTCCCTTCCTCGAAGAACCTATGGTGGCGAAAGGAGGAAGGTAGTCCGTGACTAGCCCCCCTACTGCAAGTAAACTCCATGAGTTTAACTCAAATTCTGATTGTAATATATCCCTCATCTTATTGCATTACTCCCCCTTTAAATAGGTCAAAAGGAATGATAACAACACACTAATTAAGACTCCTAATTAGGTGTAAAGTCTTAACAGAAACCAACCAAAAATAGGAAGTATAATAAGAATACAACTCTGCAAAAATAATTACTCAAAATGAGGAAATTAAGTGAAGCAAGCTATAGAACCACGGTAACCTTATCTTCAACTGCCACTTCATCGTTGACATGTCTTCCCTACAAATGCATCCATAACATCACTCCCTCTCCTCCCCTAAGAGTTTGTCCTCAAGCTCAAATTATGGATAGACCTCCCAGAAGAGCGATAAAGGCTCCCACATAGCATCTTCATGCGAGCTCCCCTCCCATTGCACCAATAGTTCACGGAGCCCTCTGTTTAATCGGGACTTGATGACAGTAGTAGGAAATGGAACAAAGCGACCATCTTTGAGTAGAGGCAGAGGAGTCACAACAGTAGGAACATCACCTCTAAATGCCTTTTAACAATGAGACATGGAAGACATTGTGCACATGACAATTCGCGGCAAATCGAAGCAATGCCCAACTATTCCAATTCGTTCCAGCACTTGGTAGGGACCAAAATACTTAGGTGACAATTTATGAGAACTCCGTTTGGCAACTTTGAGCTGCCTATATGGATGCAACCACAGCCACATCCACTCTCCGGGTTGGAAGACAACCTCTCGGTGCTATAAATCATAGCTAGCCTTCATTCTTTACTATGCATGCAATAGGCAGCCCTGGCTGTTTACAGAATCGCATCCTTTGTCTGGAAGGCAAGATTCATGGCCTCCAATCAGGTAGAACCCCCTTGATAGGACAGCAGACATGGAAGGTCCCTACCATAAACCACTTGAAATGGAATAGCATGTAATGAGGAGTAAAAGGAAGTGTTGTGACAATACTCTGCCCATGGCACCCAATCCACCCATTTGCTTGCCCTATATCCCACCAAACACCTTAAATACATCCTAAAGTCCGATTCATCACTTCATTTTGGTCATCTGATTAGGGGTGGTAGACGGAGGACAAGGCCAATTTTGTACCACTCAGATGAAAAAGCTCTTTCCAGAAGAGACTAGTGAAAATCTTATCTCGATCGGAAATTATGGACTTAGGCAAACCATGGAAACGAAATATCTTAGCAAAGAACACACTAGCCACAGTAATTACAGTAAAAGAGTGGGCTACAAGAATAAAGTGAGCATATCTAAAAAACTTATCAACCACCATTATGAGACTGATTTGCATTTCACCTTAAGGAGCCCTTCCATAAAATCCATAAAGATATCTGCCCAAATCTGTTGTGGAATGGGAAGGGGTTGTAAAAGGCCAGCTGGATGAAGATTCTCCCATTTATTTTTTTGATAGACTAAGCAACTCTGTATATATTCAACAACATTCGCCTTCATCTCCTTCAAAAAGAAATCACTTCGAACCCTTTTCCACGTCTTTTGGACAATCTCGTGGCCCATGTCATGTAACACTATAAGAATGGTTGGGATAAGAGGTGAGGAAGGTAAGAGGTAAACCTTGCCCTTGTATAGAATTAACCCCTTCTGTAATTTTCAGTCCCTTCCTGCATGCCCCTACTTAATGCTATCGGCCATCTCTTACATCTGTTCTGAACTCAGCTAGCTCCTCTTTGATTTCACTAAATAAATCAACCTTTGGTTGGGAGATAGCCCCCAAGAATCCGTCTCCTTCGTCTTTTCGGGATAAAGCATCAGTAGCAACATTTAACTTCTTTGTTTAGTAATCAACTCGAAAGTCAAAGCCCAAGAGTTTGCTAATCAAGTGTTGTTGGGGGAAGTGGATAGCCACTGATCCAGCAAGAATTTTAGGTCGCAATGGTCTGTTTTGATCAAGAATGGTATCCTCCATAGGTATGGGCGCCAATGAGAAACTACTTTAGCCAACCCAATCAACTCCCTCTCATATGTCGCTAGTTTTAAGTGTCTCCACAAGCCAATTTTTTGTTAAAAAGCACGATCAAGTGACCTTGCTGTTGTAGCATTACTCCTACATTGCTGCTTAATGCATTGCACTCCACTACAAACTCCTCTTTGAAAATAGAAAATTACATAACAGGTGCCTCGAAGAGGGCTTTCTTGAATTGTGTAAAGGTCGTGTCTGTTACCTTTATCTATTAGAAGGAATTTTTCTTCAGAATACTGGTGAAAGGAGTTGTAATTTGCTCGTAATCTTGAATAAATTTTCTGTAGTAACTAGCCAAGCCTAAAAAGCCTATTAGAGCCTTTACCGAGTGTGGTGTTAGCCAGTTGGTGACAATTTGGACCTTGCTCTCATCCACTTTTACTCGTGCACCATGAACAACATGCCAAAGATACGCCATCTAGGTTTTCCTAAATGTACACTTGGATTTCTTTAGAAATAGGTGGTGCGCTCGCACTAACTCAAAAACCACACGAAGAGATTACATATGTTCTATCCAAGATATCATCAAAAGAAAGAAGAACGAACTTACGTAAGTGGGGTTGAAAAACTTCATTCATTCGACACTGAAAGGTGGAAAGGGCATTAGTGAGTCTGAAAGGCATGATTAGAAAATCAAAATGTCCATGGTGTGTCTGTAATACAGTCTTTTCCATGTCCTTTACTGCCATTTGAATATGGTGATAGCTCAATCGAAAGTCAAGCTAGGTGAAATACTTGGCCTCGTGCAATTCATCTAATAGCTCATACACCATAGGAATAAGAAATTTATACTTCATTGTTCGAGCATTCAACTCCCTGTAATCCATACAAAACTGCTTCGTTCTGTCCCATTTTGTTACCAGGTGAACGGGTGAGGAAAATGGAGATCAACTTGGCCTTATGACTCCTTGTTGTAGCATTCCAGAACACTGTTTCTCAATTTCATTTTTCTATTAATGGAGAAATCTGTAAGGCCACATCACCATCGGTCCAGAACCTAGCATCAAGGGAATACGGTGATCACACTCTCGTTGAGGGGCAAGCCCATGTGTTCTTCAAATAGCCCCTCGAAATCAACAAGCAGTTTCTACATCACAATAGAGCTTGAATTTAGCTCTTGAGTCACATACAGTCGTGACGCTACTTAGGATGCCTGCCTTATCCATGTTTTTCTTTTTCCTACCATCTCAAAGCTCATAGTTAATGCGACAAAATCCCATACAATTGGTATAAAAGTACTTAAACCATTTGACACCAAGAACCCCATCAAAACCCTCCAAAGGAATGGTATAAAAATAAACAACAATAATATCATTTTCAATATTAATGTTACCGACTCACAGATACCCATTCTAGGAACTTTCTCCTCATTTGCCACTGTCACTTGCAGCCCTGGCCATTTCTGTATACGAATTCCCAGCAGCTGAACAAGCCCTTCCTTAATGAAATTATGTGTACTCCTGAAGTCCACCACGATTAGTAGAGGATGCCCACTCACTTTAGCCTTGAGTTGTATAGTTTTGGAGCTCTAAATTCCACTAATGACATATAAGGATATCTCCAGGTCACCCATCATTTCTTCCTCTAGATCCTCCTCGTATTCATCCACCATCTAAGTAAACAACTGTTGGCATTTGTGTCCTATAGTATAAGTTTCATCATAGTTGTAACATAAACCTTTGGCCCTACGGTCTATCATTTTTTCCTTGGATAGTCTTTTAACATAGGGAGTGTCACAGCTGCTGCTATTGGATCCCACTGGTCTACCAACACTACCATCTTTGTTTTCTTGGAAGTTTGTGAGCGCTGGGCTGGTCCTTATGGGTTTTTGATTGGTCCAAGTTGTGTTGAACCAAGAGTTAGATGGGATAACCAAGCTCAGCTGCTTTTTGTTATAGGCTCTAGCTAAATTCATTACGATTCCCAAGTTGATCAAGCACTGTAATTCAACTTTAATACGAATTCCATCCGCCAATCCAGCCACAAACAAATTAACTTGTTGAATAGGGCTCAAATTGTCTGTTTTTGCTAATAGGGTTTGAAACTGGGTCTCATACTCCTCTATGCTACCCTGTTGTTTGAGATTAGCCAATTATCCCAAGGTGTAATGGTTTAATGGTGGCCTAAATCTGATATGGAAATGTTCCTTAAAACTTTCCCATATGAGCGTCTGTTCCTCCCTTTCAATCTAATAAAACCATAGTTGTGCCACTCACACTAAGCGAAAAGCAGCAAAGCTAATTTTATCCCTCTCTTTAATCCTTTGACCATTAAAAAATTGCTCATAATGCTTTAGCCAAACCAGCGGATTTTCAGACCCATCATATATGAAACTCCATCTTAGAGTACCTTGGCACCATCTGTCCCCCTAAGTGCCCCTCTGTGTTCCCTTCGGTTCCAAAATAATTCTCTCTGTAATCACTCCTAGAACCTCTAGTTTTCTCTTAATCCACGTCCCTAGCTACCCTCGAAATGATCGAGAGTTTTCAGTGGTTGTTCGATCAGATACCTCATGTTATTCTTCTACAAAATCGTACCTCTCATTCTAGATTACCATCTATGCCTTTTGCTTCTTTACCTGTTTCTTAATCTACACCTTTTATCCCTCCAATTGTTCCTTCACAAAATTCATGAAAGAATCCAATTTAGATCCTATGTTATCGGAGTCCCCCATAACGCCTAACTTTGATACCAAATTGTTAAGTTCTTTTACGTAAGATCTCGTCACAGGTCTGGACATAGAAAAATCTACCTCTTTTCCCTTATTGGCCTTAGTTCCCTTCCTCGACGAACCTATGATGGTGAAAGGAGGACGGCAGTCCGTGACTAGCCCTTTTGCTGCAAGTAAACTCCATGAGTTTAACTCAAATTCTGATTGTAATATATCCCTCATCTTATTGCATTACTCCCCCTTTAAATAGGCCAAAAGGAATGATAACAACACACTAATTAGGACTCCTAATTAGGTGCAAAGTCTTTACCAGAAACTAACCAAAAATAGAAAATATACTAAGAATACAACTCTTTAAAAATAACTACTAAGAATTAGGATATTAAGTGAAACAAGCTATAGAATCACGGTAACCTTATCTTCAACTATCACCTCGTCATTATATGTCTTCCCTACAAATGCATCCATAACAGGAAACAGAACCCAATGACTTAATCATAACATCAATAAAGTTAAATAGGTTCTAAAGCCATGGCCTAATAGAACCCCCTTGCTCATCCAAGCAATTACATTAGTTAAATCCAATTCGATAATCCAATTTACATAATGAGCAACGTTAGAACATGCAGTGATCTCTAAATCCTTCTTAATAGCCAGAACTTTAACCTCATTTAACTTGTTGATCCTAATAGAAATAGAAAAAGTACATAAGAAATTTTTTTTCTAATTTCTCAAAACTCCTCCAACACCTAAGATCCCAGACCTATCAAGAAGCGACCTATTTATATTTTGTTGCAAAGAACCCAGGCTAGGCTTAGTCTATAAATTTGGTGGCTAGCATATAGGATGATTAGTACACATCTTAATATAATCAGAATATTGTTGAAGATCACTTCATGCATATATAAAATGTTTATTCACTTATTTCACTTAGCAAACTACTTTGTGAAAAAAAGATTGGAAAGATATAATCCCAATTCAACACAATGTCATTGAAAAACTTATCATTCTTGGTCAACTTGACTGACCATAGGACTACATAAAGAACTAAGAACTAAACTTTTGCTGCATCTATCCATTACAAAAAAAATAAAAAATTCATTCTTGAAACAAATTAACTGAACATGGCATAACCCAAACATTACCCTACCAAGACGTAACCTGATATCACAATATCCACACAACGTGGCAGAAGAGTATGATGAATTATTTCCCATCCAGAACTATAAAATGGGCAAACATTGGCTTCCTCTCTAATTTTATCTTTAGTAGCTAGTGAGCTCTTAGTATTTAGCCTCTCCAAAACCACCGGTCAAATTAAGGCTTCAACTTTTAGAGGAACAAGGTTCAACAACACTTAAGATTACATTGTAGGTTCCCTATTTAATAAGTGATTATTAAGCAAAAAAATACAAGATTTGATCGAGTAAATATCTTTGTTATCATATGACCATATAACTTGATCTGTAGACTCCTAGTGTAGTTGAATTACGAAAATGATAGATAGGATGGAGTTTTCAAAACCAATTAAAGCCAGTCCAAAATCCTAAGTTTGCCACATTACATAACCTGTTAGTAGCTATAACAAATAATAAGGAAGGAAAAGCAAGACTTAAAGGCATAGTACCCCACCATAAGTCTTCCTAAAACAAAGTAGCAGAACCATAACCTGTGCAAGGGAATAGGCAAGAATATGGCCTAAATTATGATGAAATATAGATGAGCATTATGTGAACCATACTAGCTTTTGCTGCATCTCAGTCATGCCCTTTACTTCAAATAGATGTTAAGAATGCATTCTAACATGGTGATCTCAAGAAAGAAGTTTATATGAAACTTCCTTTTGGTATGCCTTCTTCTTCACCCAATGATGTTTACAAACTAAAATGCTTTTTATATGGTTTGAAAGAGACACCAAGAGTATGGTTTGAAAAATTTCGATCCACTCTCTTCGATTTTTTCATTTCATCAAAATAAATATAACTCCTCCCTCTTTCTACGAAGGACATATAAGGGCATAATTATCCTATTTGTTAATGTGGACACCATTGTTGGTATTGGTTCTGATATGGAGGCCATATCTGAGATTCAAAAGTTATTACATTCTACTTTCCACCTAAAAAACCTTGGCTGACTCACCTACTTCTTGGGGTTAAAAATGGATCATCGAACTTCAGGTATATTCTTATGTTAGGATTTGGTTCAGTTAGCCGAACTCATAGGCAACAATTTTGTTGACTCTCTATGGAACTTAATGCGAAATATATAGACGTAATAAAGGTGATCTTCTTGAGGATCCTACTTTATATTGAAAGTTGGTTGGTAGTCTCATCTATTTAACTATCACCAAACTAGATATCTCTTATGTTGTCCACCACATAGTCAACAGATTGATGCAATCCCCTTGGCAACTCCACCTCTCTGCAATTCGACGCATCATTTGATATATCTTTAGCACACCTAACCGTGGCCTTTTCTTTCCTACTGGTTCTTCACTCTAACTTCATGCATAAAGCGATACTAATTGGGTAGGCTACCCGGACACTAGGAAGTCTACTACTGGATGTGTATGTTTCTTGGTGATGCTCTTATCTCATGGAAATCCAAAAAGCAAAATTATGTATCCAAGTCCTCCACCGAGGTAGAGAATTTAGCTATGTCTGTAGCTTGTTCAGAGATCATTTGGCTGTGTGGTCTCTTAAGAGAGCTTGGTTTCTGCCCTATTAAGCCCATTCCTCTATATGTTGACAACACCAGTGCCATCCAAACCTGTCTACCCGAAATGCACAAAGCATATTGAGATTAACTATCATTCCATCCGAGAGACTTATGACCACCAGGTTATTACTCTTTCACATATAACCACCTCTCTTCAAATCGTAAATATTTTCACCAAAGCCATGACTTGCCATTATTTCTATGTTGACAAATTGATGCTTATAGATTTACCGGCATCAATTTGAGGGGATGTTAAAAGAAATATTTAGTCTTAATTTCTCATTTAAAGTCAGCAGACTTTATGCCAAGAATTATTCGATCTTGATTGGTCATTTAAATGAGCAGATTATATCCCTTGTATAGGTTTGATATTATTTTCATTCCTTAATTAAGAGATACTAGATACAAGAAAGATTAGCATATATATGGTAGCTTAGCTTGTTCATATATATATATATTGAGAATTTTCCACAAAGAGCACATCTTTTTAGTCAAAAACTTCAAAGTTTGTTATGTTGAAACCAGATTGGTAAAGGCAGAAGTTTTCCTACAAAAACCTATAACTCAACCAAAATGACTTAGTATTAGATTGAGACAACCCTTATTCCGTTGTTGTAGAGGTAAACCTTGCAATTGTGCACAAAGCCAAAATAGACTGCAAATTATCCGAACATAATACATATGATCCGCTGAAACAAAAGCGATTAGAGCCATAGACACACCAGGAAATTGCAAGCCAATGGTACTCACACCATATCTTTTAAGCTCATATTTAACGGAGGCATAATCAATTCTTTTGGAAAGAACACCCACAGGACTCTTCTTCAGCCAATCAGTATCATCAGTAGTTGTAATATACTCCCCCAAATTCTTGTCAAATGGGATTGGGGCATTAGTCGAGGTTGATTGTCTAACAATTCAGCATAGATTCTATAATCACGAATTATCAACGGGACCTTGTGTATTCGCTTGCCCTTCCTCTCCTTAGCTTGCTTAGGCATTGATTTAGTACCCAATCTTCTTTTCCTATCAAACTTTGCCAAATTAACCCACAACTTATAGGTATCAAACCACATATTGTTCATGATTAATAACAGGTCTTTGATGGGAAAATTTGATTCCAAATCTACAAACCCAAATCGCCTTTCTAACTTTATCTTCTTCCTCATGATGAATGAGTCCTTCACCTTGCCATGCTCGAAAAACTTTTCCGTCAGAGATCAAATCACAAAACCAACGCAAGAAAGTGATCAAACCACAAACTCCTTTAATTAAATGATCAAATCACTAGGATGACAATTTATCCCGCCCTAATAGAGCCTCGCTCCTCCCCAACCTAGTTAATTTGGAGATTTCTTGAGTTGACCGAGAAACGAGACGAGGCGAGGTGGCCAACCGTGCATTAATTTTGAACGAGGATGAGTGGGGATGGTATTTGCCCACCCCCGCTCGTCTTTTCATTTGAAAATTACAATTATACCTAATGTATATATAAACTCTAAGGCTACAAACTAATTTTCAATATGATGAGTGAGTTTTGATAATCTTTAAGCAATAAAAACACACAATAATTAATGTTTTTTAATTACATTTGTGATACTTCATCAACTTAATTAAATATATTATTTATCCAATTGAAAACAATTTAATATATTATGAGTTGTGTTGTAAACTTAGAGTTGAATATGATATCTTTTTTAATTATATTTTTTATATGGATTATTATTTTTTTGCTATAGTTTAAAATTTAATACAGGATAATATGAGATAGAATGGAGTGCGACGAGCATAGAAAATTAAGCAGGGCACCAGGGATCCTCAGTGTCTCGCTAGGATCCCCGTCCCATGTTCCCCACGGGACGAGACTAGGACAGGGTGGAGTTTTTCAGGAGCGGGGCGAGGGCATTGCCATTCCTACAAATCACAAACTCATTTAATTAGATGAACAATACTACCAATAAAAAGGTTGCCAAATGGGTTAGTTAAATAGTTTAATAACCATTATAGTATCTCTAGCATTATTTATCTCTAGCATTATTCTATAGTAACCATGGCACTACAAATTGAACTGGTCGAGGAACGGGATCATACTTGTATGAATATTTGGAGAATGGAATCAGATTGTTGAAACTAGTCCCTGACTAAGGGTTACCCTTTGAGAGGATAAACAGAAAAAGAATTTGACATAATTTCTATACGGTACTGATGAGGTTCGGGGTTTGGGTTTAGGATTTAAGGTAAGGGGTTTTGGGTACAGGGTCTGGGGATTGCCTTTGCCATTTAAATGCAGCCAGATTCAAGAGGAGGATGCCATGAAACTAGATGAGGTTGCTGTGAATTCCTATTCCCCCGTATAAACAAAAGAATCATCATAATCCTTTAAAAGCTGCTACAATATTTGGTGGATCTGAGATAGTTGAAGTTTTTATTTATTTATTTATTTTTCCTTAAAACAGCCACCGTAAGCTAGTGCATACCTTTTCCCATTATCGCTGGGTGGGAATATAGGAATGAGCATAATAATATTCTATAAAAATAGTCCTTCCCTCTTAAATTTTGCCGCCTATATGCAACACCAGTACCCATCAAGCTACTACATACATTCTAACATCATGACCATGTCACGCCATTAAGGATTCCCGAATCCCAACTACGATGTGTAATGGCTGGTTACAATAATCAAAGAACCTGAGATTTCAGAAGGATGCAATGATAATTTTCAAGTTAAAGGATTCAAAAATTATTAAGAAGTCACAGTTTAGGAAATTTAAAGGGCCAATATCATACAGGGGTCGTATCGTGTATGGCCAATTAACTCTCAAACGATATAACTTGATCACTAAGTGATAGCATCTAAATTCCTGAAATATATTTTCCATAGAAAAACAGAGTATGCAATCATCAACTTTGCACATAACAAATGATGAGCGGATAAAATACATAAATGTTACATTTGATATTTGGTAAGGTAACAAGTTACTTCTGTTTCTTCTTTACATGTAGAGATGGAGCAAGAGGACCTGGTCTCTTCTTTGCAAATGTTTTGGTTCTGCTTTCTGATTCTTCACTGCTGTCATCATCCGCATTATCATCTCTAGCAGGTAGAATGGAATCTTCAATACTTTTAGCAGCTCTTCTCTTTCCGGCTTCCAACTTTGCATGTAACCTCCTTTCGACAGGGTCATTTGACTGTCTAGCTTTAGATTGGCGTGGAACTTCTTTTGCACCAAGTCCAAGCCTAGAAAAACATGTAAACATTGCTTATGAAGAGTTCACAACGACACAGCAAAAGCCTTCATAAAAATTGAAAAGAGGGCTATACTACCTAGAAGGCCGGCCCTCTGATTCTACATTTGGTGGTTCATCTTCTACAGCCTTACTCATGTTATTAATCCATTGTTCAGCCTGCACCGCATCAATGTAAAAAAAATAATAATAAATAATGAAAAATCGACAACAGAAGAGTAAAAGTTTCAGTACATCCACCAGATTGAAATAATTGAATCATAGCATTGAAGCCTCTCTTTCGACTTTTCGCTTTCTAGATTGTTCAAAATTTGACCATAAGGAAACAGAGACACGTAAACACAAGTCATAAAATACAAGGGAAAAAAATAGCATAAAGAAAATGATTTTCATTTTGTTACCAATTTGAAGGCATTGTCTAATCTGACAATTTGTGAAGGTTTCTTTTGCTGCCCTGCCTCTGCGCCCATTGCTATTTTCTACTCCTTCTCTTTAACTTGCACTCGCGATTCAATGATTCTCCAAGTTTTTCAGAAACAAGTTTAAGGAAGCTAGGATTCGGAATTCACCTGATAGGAAGCTGCAAATTAGAGAGAGAGAGAGATGAGAAACGTAGCCGTCAGTCTGAGTCAGCTCTGCAAAACAAAGTCAGCTACAAAGCAAAGTGGATCGATGCCTTTTTTACTAATACTTTTGGGAAATCAAAGTCAAATATAAGTTTTAAAACTGAAAAATTAGGAATTAAAATCGAACTTAATTAGCATAAATATATTGGTTTCTTTGATAATTCAATTGGAATCTAAGATATTCTTCAGACAGTCAGGCTAATCGTAATAAGTAGAAGCTAGCTCTCCAGTTTACTGCTGGTTCAATGCACCTAGACTCTAGTGATTATTATTATTATTATTATTATTTTGAAAATTCAGATAAAGCAAACTCGCATAGCATCCTATATGTGATCAGATAATTGGAAAAAAAAATGTTATTTTATTAATTAGTTTTAGAATTTGACAATTTCTTAACTGCAATCTCGTGTAAATCAGACCTAATAGATCAAAAGATATAGAGATTTAAAAATGCGGATGAGATATAACTTATGTATCTGTAACTGAAAAGGAACAAAGAAAATGAATTGCTTAGTGGGTAGAAACCAAACCAGCTCTCTAGGAAGTAGGAAGCAGCATGAAAGGCACAGCTTTGCTTGATAAATACTATACTATTTATTTATTATTTCGATTCATTCTCCCTATATATATATATAAGAAGGCGCTAGTTAACAATGAATGAAGAAGATTTGAAAACAGAACAAAAGAAACAAGTTCTGAGTTAGCAGTACATACATCGGCAAAGAGATGAAGAAATCAAGAAAATCTTCAACAATATCTCCTTTCCTTAGTCTTCAACGTTGTGTTAACAATGAATGGTGATTTGATACGTGACAATCGCCAGATTACCTAATTGAGGAGCCTGAATAGAATTGGGGACAAAAAGTAAATTAGGGTTTGAACATTCAAGAGAGAGGCGGGGTTTATTTTAGCTCCAGGGCCTTTATTGACTATTATTGGACTTAATAGTTATTTTGTCTTGTGGGCTGATGGGAATCCTTCTTGTTAATGGGCTGAGGGGGTTAGTCTGTTCTGCCTTATTTTGCTACTACTTATCCCTTTGGTATTTTAGAAAGCTGAGGACTTTATATTTACTGTCCGTTATTGTACTGGCAAGACATGATTCTCAGCTTACTGGCAAACGCTAATTTAATATCTTCCATGAATTGGTAGTCAGCATTTGAATGTGTCCAAACTCCACGCTAGTGTGGCCTGAATTTGATCAAGATGGAAAGTCCACCCAAGGCTACCTGGTTTGTTATTTGGTCTTGCTGCCAGTCTTATTTACACAGTTTGTTACCAGTTGGCTTCTCACACGCTGTGGTGTGGATCGAAATAAATATATTTATTTTAATTTAATAATATATATTATGATATAAGTCAATAAAAATATATTAAATTAAGGATAAATTTTCATTTATTTTTATAATTTTTAATCAAATTTTTGCATTTGTTTATTTTTAAAATAAATTTTGTTGTTAAAAAAAAAGATTTGTTTTTTATGCATTTATTTTTAAATAAAAACCTATAATAATCTAAATATAAATTTTGAAAAATATTTTAATATTTTTCATAACATTGTATCAAAAAATAAAATAACAATTAATATAAAAAAACATGAATAAAAACTAACAAATAAATCTTTTATATTCTTGTTTAATATCGATGAAAAGAATAATTTTTTTTGAAACCACATACATTATATATATATATATATATATATATATATATATATATATATATATATATATATATATATATATATATATATATATATAATATTAGTATAAAAATTATATTTGAATTATTAGGCAATTCTTGTAAAATATTATTTTAATTATTTTATTTGAAAAATAATTTTATAAAAAATAATAACTAATGATTAGTGTTATGAGTATAGATGTATAGTTAATTTTCAATAAAATCAATAGCTCTAATATATATATATCAAAACCGTACTCATTAGGTCAAAAGATGCAACACAAATTGATTTTAAAAAAAAACATAAGTTCTAAAAAATATATTGAAGTTAGTGGAGTGTAATAAAAAAAAAAACTACAAAATAATTTTGACACAATTTCCCTATATAAAAAATAAGTAAATAAAATACTTGAATTCTATTTTCAAAATTTGATTATATAAAAAACAAGCAAATAAAAATAAATATGAAAAAAAATTATTTGAAAATAAATACATAAGAGAAAATAAATAATATTCACTAATAAATAAAATTTCATAAAAAAAAGAAGAATAAAAAAATCAATTTGATTAAAATTTTTATAAGAAACGACAAATTGAAGAGATTAATTTCAAACAATTAAATTATATATATATTCTAAAATCTAAAAACATATTGTATATATTTTATAATCGTCGACTTGTGTGAAAAAAATAATGATTGATTTTTTGTAATTTTCACATCTAATTCAAATAATAATAAAACATAAATTGGTGGAAAGAACAAAAAAAAAAAAAGGAGAGAGAGAGAGAAAAAAAGCTATTGATTTTTCATAATTTCCACATCCAATTCAATAGTTAAAAAAAACATAAATCCACTACTCTATTCTTGATTACCAAACAGCATATGATGGAAAAAAGCAAAGGATAAAAAAAAAAAAAAAAAGGAGGATGGAAACAACCGAGGGATAAAAATTTTATTTTAAAACTTTAGAGACCAAAATGAAATATAAGGTAAACTATGAATATAAATGTTTAAAAATAACTGAAAAATCACAAAAATGCCATTCACAATCTATGAACAGTGATATGTAAGGAGACGAACAATAAAAATCATTGTTCAAAACCTCCACCTCTTTTAGTTTCTTTTAACTCGCTAGTTGCCCACGTTATGCTGCGAGTCCAAGTAGAACAAAATCATTTTAAAATTATAATTTTTTCATAAATTTTTTTGTTAAAAAAATACAAATTATTCTTCTTTATGGTTTGATTTTAAAATAAAAAATTATCATAATTTTAACTAAAATATTAATCTATAATTTTAAAAAAACTTTAAAACATATTTTCATAATATTGTATTCCAAAAAATAAAGTTATAATTAATGGCTAGATGTTTATAAAAATTTAGAAATGAAAAAAAAATTCTTATTTAATGCTAATGAGATATTAATTTTTGAAATTATATGTGGAATGATATAGGCAAATAGAAAAAAAAAACCATTTAGAAATTTTATAATTTTTCATTAAATTTTTATTTAATTATTACTATTTTTTGTGATTTTTCATAAACTTTCTACTTAAAAAAACATGATTTATTCTTCATTATTAAGGGATTCTTAAATAAAAACTTGCAATAATTTAAACCTAAAATATTAATTAAGAATTCAAAAGTAAATACTTTAATAATATTTTTTTATAAGGATCCATCCAAAAAATAAAGTTATAATTAATTTATAGACTTGCATAAAAATTAACTAATGAAAAAAATAAAATTTTATTCTTATTTAATATTGGTGAGAATATTATTTTTTTAAAAGTATATTCATTTGATCTTTCTATATTTATTTACAAAATAATTAATAAAAATAGCATAAAAAACTATATTTGAATAATTGATTTGTTCCTTTAAAAAATTATTTTAAGTATTTTATTTCAAATAAATTGGTTCTATAATGTTAAGAAAATATTCATAATAAATAATTTGTATTACATTGGAAGATATACAATTAATCTTTAATAAAACAATGATTCAATAGTTTTTTTTTTTATATATACATTTTAACCATACCTAATGAACTAAGATAAATTATTTAAAATATATTTTTAACCTTTAAGAGTAATATATATATATATATATATATATATATATATATATATATATATATATATATATATATATATATATGCAACTATTATTTAAAAATTCTAAGAATTCATGATGTATATTATACCAATTTATTTAAAAGAAAAAAAGAAAAACAATCATGTTTTAAAATTTTATTCTAAAATTCAAGCATAGAGAAAAATAAATTGTATTTATCAATAAATAAAATTGTATATTAAAAATATTAATTGGATGAGAATTTTCATAAAAAATGATAAATTCAAACAATTAAATTTAAATAATAAGAGTAATATAAGCTGAAGTGTGTGTGTGTGTTGTTTGAAAATGAAAGAAAAATGAAAGGTGAAGATTGAAAAAAAAATGTTTCAACATGAGGGAGAAAACATGAAATAATGTTAAATTTGCATATTAATACCTAGAAACTCAAAAAAAAAAAAAAAACAAACTAAAAAATTACTTAAATTGTCATCAAATAAATAGTAATTTTATGCATATAAAGAATAAATGAATAGGAATTTTAGGCATATGAACAAGTTTGGATTCTTGCATTACGTTATGGACTGAACTAACCATATTTATTTTAATTTGATAACATATAATATGTTGTCGGTTCATTAAAATATATTAAATTAAATATAAAAGATAAAATTTCTACTAATTTTATAATTTTTTTAATCAAAATTTTGTATCTATATATATATTTTTTATGTTTTGAATAAATTTTAAAGTTAAAAAAATATGATTTTTTCTCTCTTATGCATTTATTCTTAAATAAAAACCCATAATAAATAAATTTTAATATAAATTAAAAAATACCTTAATATTTTTTTCGTAACGTTGGATTGAAGAAATAAAGCAATAATTAATATAAAAACTTGTATGAAAATTAACAAATGAAGCTCTTTTACTTATGAAAAGATTATTTTTTTAAATACATACATTTGATTTATATATATTTATTTACAAAATAATAAGTAATATTAGTATAAAAAAATTATATTTGAATTATTAGGTGGCTATTCTAAAATATTATTTTATTTCAAAAAATTAATTTTAAAATATTAAAAATATAATAGCAAATAGTTGGTATTGTGTATATTGATGTATAGTTGATTTCTAATAAAATCAATGACTCTAATATTATTATTATTTTTTTATACATTATGATCATACTCAATGGGTGAAAATACATAGCATAAATTAAAAAATATTTAAAAAATTAAATTGTAAAATATATATTAAAGTTAATAAAGTGCAATAAAAACTATAAAATTGATTTCAATAAAATTTGATTATATAAAGAACAAGAAAATAAAATACATATATTCCATGTTTAAAATTTGATTATACAATAATCAAGCAAATAAAAAAAGTATAAAAAATTTATTCGAATCTATACATAGAGAAAATAAATCATATTTATTAATAAATAAAATTATATAAAAATAAGGATAAAAATTAACTTGATGAGAATTTTTATAATAAATTGAAAAGATCAATTTTAAACAATAAGAGTAGTATATATATATTCTAAAATCTAAAAACATATCGTGTATATATTTTATAATCATTAGTTTATATAGAAAAACGTAACGATTGATGTTTTAAAATTTTAAAACCCAACTAAATTTAAAAAAAAAAACATAAATTAATGAAAAAAAATCAAAGAAAAAAAGAAACATATATAGTGCATCGACTTGGGAATTAAAATTTGTATTTTAAAATTTTAAGAACCAAAATGAAACAACTTAAAAAAAAAAAAAACTAATCTAGTAAATGAATAGTGAAAATCACCACTCAAAACCCTCACTTCTTTTAGTTTCTTTGTAATATTTGAAAAAATTAATTTTAAAATATTAAAAAAATAATAGCATAGTTGGTATTGCGTGTAAATACATAGTTGGTTTTTAATAAAATCAACGATTCTAATATTATTATTTTTTATACATTATGACCATAGTCAATGGGTGAGAATGCATAGCATAAATTGAAAAATATTTTAAAAAATTAAATTATAAAATATATATTGAAGTTAATAGAATGTAATAAAAATTATAAAATTAATTTCGATAAAATTTGATTATATAAAGAAGAAGAAAAGAAGAAAATAAAATAGATATATTCTATATTTAAAATTTGATTTTATAAGAATCAAGCAAATAAAAATAGGTATAAAAAAAATTATTCAAATCCATACATACAGAAAATAAATCATATTTATTAAGAAATAAAATTATATAGAAAATAAGAATAAAAATTAACTTGATGAGAATTTTTATAATAAATTGAAAATATCAATTTTAAATAGTAAGAATAGTGTATATTTATTCTAAAATCTAAAAACATATCGTATATATTGTATAATCGTTAGTTTGTATGGAAAAAAGTAACAATTGATTTTTCAAAATTTTAACACCCCTTTAAATAAAGAAAAGCATAAATTGATGGCAAAAATCAAAGAAAAAAACCAAAGAAAAAAAAAGATGTGTAGTGCATTAGTTAGGAGATTAAATTTTATATTTTAAAATTTTAGAAACCAAAATAAAACAACATAAAAATTACAAAAAAAAAAAAAAAACTAAGATATAGTAAATGAATAGTGAATTTTGATGGAATGAACAATGAAAATTGTTGTTCAAAACCCTCACTTCTTTTAGTTTCTTTCTAATAAGAATATTTAGGGCACTAAACAGTTTATTCTCCACCATTTTAGGAAATGGGTCTGGTTGTGTATTTCAGGTATTGCTACTTTGTTGAATAACCATTATTAGATTTTGTGTGAAGTTTGGTATAGCCTCATATAGAGAACATAGACCTGCTCACCAATTTAACTTGCTTGAACATTTGAACAAGATGTTGTAGTTACCTGTCTTTTGTTCTTGCCTGCGTTTTGTTACCAGTACCTCACATGGTACCACTGTCTGGCTGGATGCCCTTACCAATAATGCTAGCTGCATATAGTTGGGAGAACGCTTGGAATTGTCTTGTCTTTGCGCATTTTTTTCGTCTTTCTAAAGTTCTGGTGTGGTTTTCGTGTGTATACAGGGAAGCTGTACATGGGGGGAAATGCCAAAGATTCTCAATCTGGCTTGCTATACAGATCTGAGGATGAGCTTAGCAAAAAGCTGCCACAAACATTAGGATGGTTAACATGTATTGGATTTTCCAGATTCAAGACGATTTTCTGCCTCTGCCTGTTGTGTGAAATGCTTGCTTGCATTACCCTTTCTCTTCGTCTTTACTGCTAAGGATGCTTGATTTAGATAGGTGTAATATAAAATGAACTTGATTTAATTAAAATTAAAATTAGTTTTATATATAAGTTTAGAATTTTGATGTTAATTACATTAAGATTTGATGCAGAGAATTGAGATGGTTAGGTTAAAAGCCTATTTACTCGTTCCTAAAAAATGTAAACAATTAAAATGATTTACCAAAAAATAAAAAATATCTATCTTACTCGAAATTTTAAATCGCGAGCGATTATAGTCATTATTGCAAGATTTATTATATTATTAAAATAATAATAATAAAATGTTTTAAAATCTTTATATAATAGTTATTATTTATTATTTAAAACTATAATCTTACTAGTATTAGACTATAGAGAGCAAGTCAGATAGGGTATCTTCAAATTTGTATGATTACTTGACTAATCAGAATTACAAGAGAAAATGGAAAACGGTGGGTGTAAGTAACAACGAGCTTCAGTGGGGCGAGTCCAGGGGCGGAGTAGGCCAGTAGTACTAAATTAGTAAATTTATACCCGTAGTCAAGTCAATAAACCAGTTTTTGGGGTTAAAAAACCAGACAAAGGGAACGATGGGCAAACTAACAAGCGCCAAATTGTAAAATACCCCCTTGAAGGTAAGTGAAAAACGAAACGCCCCCTCAACAAAAACAATTCCCAAATGAAAAAAGGAAAAAAGAATAGGAGGGATTTATTAACGGAATCCCACATTGATTAACGGGACAGGAGGGATACAGTTTTTGAAATGGAAGCGCTTTAGGGTGGAAAATTTAAAGTTCTTAGTTTAAGGGGTATTTGTTTTTTTCGTATAAGTTGAGGGGGTTATTTACAATTTGACAATAACAAGCCTTATCTCGTTCAACCTCCATTTCTTTTTCTTTTCAAGCTACCTCTTCTTCTCTGCTTCTGTCTTTGCCTTTATTGAATCTAATACTGATCGCTTTTTTTTTTTTTCTCTCCTCCTACTCCCACTTCTCTCTCTATATATATTCCATTCGACTGTTACAGAAGCAGCAGCAGCAGCAAAAGAGTTGTAGAAAGTTTTAGCTGAAAGAAGAATTCGCAAATGCCTCCTACAGCTACTCTCTCCGCTTCTTCTACTTCTCTCCATTATCTTTTTCCACTCTCCTCCTCTTCCTCTTCTTTGACTTCAACCACTACTCCTACTAGTTGTCATTTCCATCCCCATCCCTATCCCTGTACCAAGAAATTCTCATCATTGCGCTTCAAACCCCATCAAAAACCCATCATGATTCGATCTGCAGTCTCCATCGAGAAAGAAACTCCCGAGAAAGAGCGGCCCATCACATTTCTTCGTGAATCAGAAGGCGGTGATGTAAGGGCCCGCTTCGAGAAGATGATTAGGGACGCCCAGGACAGCGTTTGTGCTGCGATCGAGGAGGTTGATAAAGGCGGCAGGTTTAAGGAGGATGTCTGGTCTAGACCTGGAGGCGGGGGAGGGATCAGCAGGGTCTTGCAGGACGGTGCCGTTTGGGAGAAAGCTGGGGTTAATGTCTCTGTTGTTTACGGAGTCATGCCCCCTGAAGCTTATAGGGCTGCTAAGGCTGCCGCTGCTGATCAAAAGCCTGGCCCTATTCCTTTTTTCGCTGCTGGCATCAGCTCTGTAATTTCTACCAATCTCAATCACATTTCAATTTCTTCAACACTGTTACTAATTTGTTAGCTTCACTTATTCAGCTCTCTTTCTCTAACATTTTCAGGTATTGCATCCCAAGAACCCTTTTGCGCCTACATTGCATTTCAATTATCGATACTTTGAGACCGATGCTCCTAAAGGTATCAATTACACCCTTCCTTTTGTTTTTTCGATTATGTTTCTTGGCAAATTTTCTTGTATTGAATTGCAAAAAATTACTTTTTTTGGCCCTCTCTTTCTTCCTTTTTTAATTTTTTTTTTTTTTTGGGTGATTATAGTGGAATGAATTGGCCAAGAAAAAAAAAAAAAAAAGGAGTACTGATTTGGACTATCGTTAAACTGGTTTCTTGTTGCCTTTATGTGAAGATGTTCCTGGGGCACCTAGGCAGTGGTGGTTTGGTGGTGGAACTGATTTGACTCCAGCTTACATTTTCGATGAAGACGTCAAGCATTTCCATTCGGTAAATAAATGTTCAAATTGTGGGTTGTTGTTTCTATTTCTAATGTTCTGCATTAGATATACCCAAGTGAAATGCAAAGTTTCTTTCTGTCTCGCTTATCTGATGATGTAATTTGTTTGTAACATTCTAATCTTTATTGTACACCGTAGGTTCAAAAGGAGGCCTGTGACAAATTTGATCCTAGCTTTTATCCACGGTTCAAAAAATGGTGTGATGACTATTTCTATATTAAGGTACGTGTCTTTGTCAGGTGCTTAAACTATACTATGGCGTATTTCACCTGATGCATCAGTTTTCTGATTCTTGAAGTTTATGTTTGCAATATCTTCCTTATTTCAGTTTTGCTTGGTTGCGATTATAACCCTGTGCCCCCACCCTACATGAAAGGGAAAAAGTTAACTGTTTAGGTGCCATTTGGATCTGCTGATGTTTCTATTTTCTCACTCATTTAACTTTTGGATTTTGAACTTGTAAACAATGAGGGACAATGAAATGGACAGGTCTGGTTGGCAAAGAGAAAAAACTAGCTTTGACAGCAATTGTTTCAGACTTGTTCATTTACGAGGCTTTTTCATTTCAAAGGCAAATTTCCTGCCATTGATGACAGAAGCGAGCTGAAAGTTTCTGACCTGAATAGCCAATCTTCTCAATGGTCAATTCTAAATTTCTAACAGGTTGATAGATTGACTTAGAGTCTGTTGATGAAGTAGTTGGAGTATAGTTCAACTCCTGCTGAGGGCACATGAATTTGTATCTATACCTTTGCCATGCATTTGTTTTCTTGGTTCTGCTAAAAGGCTGTACAATATATATACAAATATTGGGAACCTTTCAAAAGTTTGTATAGTCTTCTGCTGAGGTAAACTAAGCGAGGTAGAAGAGACTTGTTTTATAGTGATCTTATCTATTTGGACTCACATTGACTAGTGATGCTGTGTGCAGCACCGAGGTGAGAGACGAGGACTTGGAGGAATCTTTTTTGATGATCTAAATAACTATGATCAGGAGATGCTCCTATCCTTTGCCACTGGTAATTTCCAAAGATAATACATCTTTGGTGGTTTTATCAAGAAAAAAATTCCTAGCTCCTGTGAATTCCATTTTTGCTAATGTACACAATGTTTTGTTGGATTTCAGAGTGTGCAAATTCTGTAGTACCTGCATACATTCCCATTATAGAGAAAAGGAAGGATACACCGTTTACGGATCATCACAAAGCATGGCAACAATTGCGAAGAGGGCGTTATGTAGAATTCAACTTGGTACCAAAACTCTGGAGAGTCTAAATAGAATTTTTAACGTAAAAAGTTCTTCTATTTTGAGACTTAAAATGTTTCCTCACTTTCTTCTTTTTCCCTTAGGTTTATGATCGGGGTACGACATTTGGATTGAAGACAGGAGGTCGTATCGAAAGTATCCTTGTTTCTCTGCCACTATCTGCGCGATGGGAATATGATCATGTAAGTTTCTGGGAACTTATGTGCAAGTTTCTGATATGCATGATAAGGGGGTATAAATTATGAACTAACACCAAGAGGCTTCCTTGTTTCTATGCAGAAACCTGAAGAGGGAAGTGAAGAGTGGAAGTTATTAGATGCTTGCATCAATCCGAAAGAATGGATCTGATATGTTTCTTCTTTTGTTTTCTTTTTTCTTTTGCAAAAATGTGTCATCTGAGCTTTGCTTCTTTTTTTCCCCTTCGCATTTCTTGTAAACTATTTTGTTTAGCAAAGCAGTTTCGCTAGCAGAATTAGAACTTAGCATCCAGCTGTAATCTATGAACAATGGAAGTTAATAAGATCCATTTTATCGTTTTCAACCCTGTTCTTTTTGTTTCTTTTTTCTTTCAGCATATTAAAACTTAAACAAAGGAATTCATCCAGTTGTTACTAAATGGCCTTCTAATTCATTCAACAGTGGTCAGTAACCACAGTAGTTTCAAAGGAAGAACAATTTAAAAGTTCATGGGGGTTCCAACTATGGACGAATTGCTTATCGCTGGCCTTCTGCTTCCCAACTTTATGCTTAAAAGAGAAATTTTCAGACTTGTTAATATGTTCAGTCTTAGAGTGTGGAACAGGCTTTTTGGAGTTGAGGCATGTCCTAGAACCATGCTTATTCTAGAAGTGTACAGATTTTGCTTTCGTTTGTGCATAAAGTATTAATCTTCATTTCATTTTCATGCATCGTCTATTGGCAATCAGAAGTCAGAATCATGAAATGCACATAGATTTGGATGTTGCTGCGATGTTATTATTCAAGCAAGCTGCCCAACAATGCAGAGGAATTTATGTGAAATATGGTTGAGTTTATTTCTGTATTCTTGCTCTGTTGGTCGTCCATATGTGTTTATCTTCACTTAACTGCAGATGTTAACTGTTGACATGTAAGTTCAAAGGTTTCTTTCCTTTGGTTCTTTCTTTAGCATTTGTTTTCAAAAGAAAGTTGTTTGTATGGCTTGTTTAGATAAATGATAATCTGGATCCATCAATAGTTTATAACAATTTTTTAAATGTTCTTTATATTAAATAAACAATTACCATGTAATGATGATTTTGATATTAACAAAAATAACATTTGAAAAAAATGATGAACTTGAATTAAGAAGACGCTCTGTTAGAAACAAACATGTTAATTCTTCAATGTCTCTACATGTTGTGCTCTTGGTGAACTTAGAAAATGGTGATGGCAATTTTACCTATTCAGTGTTGAAGATGTTTTACTCCATTTTTTTGCTTCTGCAGTTATGATAGTACAAACAGACCCTAATGCCTGATGTCCATGTTAATATTTAGGGAATTAGTGCCATTTTCCATACCTGGATGTTTAAAAACACTGCTGTGAGCCTAAACTTAATTTCTGTTACACCTTTGGACATGTAGGCAGAAATCAACTATCTTGGGCAATTTCAACACCCTAACCTTGTTAAGTTGATTGGTTCCTGCTTATTAGAGGATGACCATCACCTGCTGGTTTACGAGTTCATGACCTGGAGCAGAATGTAAAATCATTTATTCTGGAGTGAGTTATGCAATTCCATCACCCTACCCTTGAGATTTAGCTTCAGATTCATATCTTGAACTGCTTCTTCTGCTCTATATTTTTAGAACTACAATGCAAAGCTTTCTGATTTTTGTTTAGCCGGGGATGGGCCAACTGGCATTAAGAGTCATGCATCTACTAGGGTCCTGGGAACCCATGGATCTGCAGAACCAGATTATTTAGCCACAGGTACAATTTTCTGTTTGTGGTTTCTTATGCACAAACCTTGATTCATATGAACCTGCTTGGCTTGCTAATTGCATCAATTTACTGTGTGTACTTGTTTTTACCCTTTTTTATATGCACTCGTTTCATCTTTGAAAAATTCAGTTTGTCATTGGCTCTGGTGGTGTTAAGGCACTCTCTTTTTTTTGCTGCAATCCTTCCTCTGCTATTATGATACAATAAACTTACTTATCTTCTCTTCTGATCATTAATTGCTTTTTAAAAAAAATTGAGAAGGTCATTTGACTGCAAAAAGCAATGTATACAACTTTGGAGTTGTACTTCTGGAAATGTTGCCTGGTAGGCGGGCTATAGACATGAACTGGCCATCTGGCCAGCATAACCTGGTGGAGTGGCTAAACCCTAACTGGCAAACAAGCGTAGAGTTATCCATGTTCTGGCTGCACATCTTGAAGGCTGGTATGCACTCAGTCAGGCCTAAAAGCTTGCTAAAATTGCACTTCAATGCTTAGCTGTACAACCAAAGTTCAGGCCAAATATTGATGAGGTGGTAATGGCGTCAGAGCAGCTGCAAGAACATGTAAAGGTCGTGCCAAAAATTACTCAAAAAGAGAGCAATTTAAAAGTTCATGGGGGTTCCAACTACGTACGGATTGCTAATCCTAGGCCTCCTGCTTCCCCACTTCATGCGTTAGAGAGAAATTTTTGGACTTGTTAATATGCTTATTCAAGAAGTGTACAGATTTTGCTTCGCTTCGTGCGTTAGGTATTTAAGTCTTCATTTCTTCAGAAGTCAGAATCACGAAATGCACATAGATTTGCATGTTGCTGCGATATTATTGTAAGGCATAGGAGTTTAGTGAAATATAGTTGAGCTCATTTATGTATTTCATTTGCTGTTTTCGAATTAGAGTGAGCATGCTATTGGATATTGATTGTACGACTCTTGGAAGTCAGAACATGTAACATGCATTAATCATCTCAATGGACAAACTACATAATAATACATCAATTTTAATTTTATTTATTTATTTATTTATTTTACAAATGACTACATTAATTTTTATTTTTTCGTTTTAATATATTAATTTTTTTAAAAAATACCAATCAATTTTTTCCATCTAATCCGATGATTTAGCGGTTAACAAAAGTGACCAAATAACTAAATTATCTCTCTTTTTTCCTCTAAAATTATTATTATTGTTTAACTATTAATTGAAAAAGAAAAAACAAATCAATTCGCATGTATGCTAGTCACCTACTTTGTTTTTTTTTTAAATTAATAGTTAAACAATAATAATAGTTCGAAGAAGAGAAAAAACACCAAAGTAATTTAATTTTTTTTTAATTAATACATCATCATTATACAAAAAAAATGAACTGAAAAAATTGATTGGTATTTTTCAAAAAAATAATATACAAAAAAAAATAATAATAATATACATCATTGAAAAAATAAATTAAAATTAATATAGTTTTCTATCATGTTAATCTATCTAACAATCTCATCACCGCGCATATCTTTCAAGTCCCCATTTTTGCATGAGATAACATCCTTTCCTCTGCGCTCTGAGAAGACCTGCGCAGCCAACGTAAAGCAATATAAAAACATTTTAAGAAAATTAAATTTCTTTCTCCATGTTTTCTCAATCAATCAGAAGATCTTCAAAGATTATAATGGCATCCTGCTGCGTGGAACACTACATTGTACTATTAAAATTATAAATTACTCCCACGTTTTCAAAATAATCCCAAGGACATCATGCAGGAATAGTTTTTAATAAACTATTAAAAAATAAATTATTAAAAAATAAAAAAAATCAATGCATGGCTTGCTTTGAGGAAACAATACATTGTACTATTGAAACATTAATTAATTAATTTCTCAAAACAAGGGGACTAATTTATAATTTTCTCCCGTCTTGTGCTTTTTAAATTTGTTTAGGGACGACTTTCTTCATTAATGGTTCATGTATTTTTTTTTTACATACATTCGATATCTTTTAAAAACTAACACTACATAAAAAAAATTAAATTAAAAAAATTAAAAATCCAAATCAAAATAAGAAAAAGATATATATATATATATATATATATATATATATATATATATATATATATGTATTTGTTAAAATTTAAGTTCATGTAATTTTAAAATAATCACCATTTCATGGGTAAATTATTAATTAATCCATTAAATTTTAAGAAACAAATTAATTAGTCTCATTCGTTTTAAAAAATATTATTTAATCATTTAATCAATATTGATCATGATTAATTTAATATTATTTTTATTTTACAAAATTTTTTATTTCTTTATATTTTTTAATTCTTAAAAAAATATAAGAAATAAAAAAAACATAATTATAAGTTGATTTCAAAATACAAGGACTAAATAATTAATTTTAAAAACAAAAAGGATTAATTAATTAATTTCTCAAAGAGAGGGGACTAATTTATAATTTTTCTCGGTCTTGTCTTTTTTTAAAACTGTTCGGGGAGTAGGGACGACTTTCTGTCTACTCCTAAAGATCTTCCATGCTCGCTACTAATCAAACTCCGTTTTGAAACCCTAACCATCTCTCGTTTCTCAATGGCACCAAAATGCCCCCTCTCGTTGAAGATCCACCTTCTACTTCTAGCTTTGAAGAAGAAGAGGAAGAAACTTCAAGTAGTGAAGAAGAAGAAGTATCCGATGATGAACAAAGTCCACCCTCTCCTCCTCAACCACAAACCAAAACCACTCGAACCCAAAAGCCAACCCTTAAAAAATCGAAACCTACCACCTAAGAATCTAAATTTGAGTCCGAATCCGAATCTAGGTCGGAGTCAAAATTTGAATCCGAACCCGAACTCGAACCCGAACCCAACCATACTATCAAGTCTATAACCTCTAAACCTAAGGGGTTGACCCCAACAAAGGAGGGGCGGCAACCAATAAATCCGGATCCGAATCGACTACAACTGCCACTCCGAAGAAATCAATAGCCAAGACGAGGGGTAAATAGGCCGATCTCGAGCCTAAGAAATCCAAGGATTCCAAAAAGAAGCTATTTCAAAGGTTGTGGACGGAGGAGGATGAGATTGCGTCGTCGCTAGGTATAATTGATTTTACTATAGAAAAAGGTTATGTCTCATCGGATTATATGAATGGGTTTTTCGATTTTATTAAGAAGTTTTTACATTTTAATGTGTCCGTGAGTCAATTGAAGGATAAGATTGTCGAGTCAAAGAAGATGTTTGAAAATCGAGTGAAAGGGTAAACGGAAAAAAAATATGTTTAACAAACCGCATGATCAAAAATGGTTTGATTTGTCGAAAAATATTTAGGGTAGTGAAGGAAGTAGTAAAGCTAATAAAAAGAGAAGTGATAACAAGTAATAATAATAAAAGGGGTAAGAGAGGGAATGCTAAGAAATCAAAAGTGTTGGAGGTCGGGTTGGATATGGATCTAGAAGAGGAGGATAGAATGGAAGTTGAGATGGAGAGAGATTTTTCAAAGTTTTATGACAGTGTGGATGATTATGTTGTGAGGAGTGGATGAAATTTTATCCATGGAAGTAAGAAGGCTGAGATGAAGGCGAAGTGGATAAAGTCGCGTGTAACCCTCGTAAAAACCCCCTTATCCGTAACGCGACGTGTATTAGAATAATTCTATATATATATTAAGAGTAAGTATAATTATCATTTCATCATGAGAAATTAATGCTTGAAATATGTGATTTATGTTAAATTAAAGTTATTGTGCCTAAGATTAATAGTTTAATTATTAAAGAAATCAAATATGCAAAATCGATGTTTTAAGGACTATATTCTGTCCACGTTTTGTGTGAATTATTTGAGAACTTTAGGGTAATTTTTGGGTCAACCTTAAAGAATGAAAGTTATTCATCTATGTGTTGAATAGATATGTATAAAATTTTATAATATTTATACCTATACATTAAGAGTTATACCAATTATAGTGAGGGTTGTTTCGAAATGCATTCTGCTGGAATTTTGGGAGAAGAATCTGCCCGAATCTTGTGAGATTTATTTGATGCTGTTAGATTGATTTTTGAGCAAAACTTAAAGAATAAAAGTTGTTTTTCTATGTGTTTACTAACTCTCTATAACATTTGATAATTTTTTGATACATATAGAAAGAGTTATGCACATTTTAGTATAGATGGGTTAGGAGGAAACACTGCTGGAATTTTGGGGGGAAAGAAATTCTGAATTTTTAAAAATGGAAATTTCTGAATTTTTATGAAAGAAAGTAGTTTTAGTTACTTGAATTAAGTTAATTAATGATTTTAATTAGTCTAAATTTTATATAGACACCTAAGTAAATGTAATAAATGAATTTAATGCCAACTCACCCATTATGGATTCCAAAGCGACCGAGCTTTCCTCATGACTCACCCATAACCTTTACACCTTATCCCATTAATTTCTAACACTTTTAGCTGAATGAAAGTAAGTATATATTTATATATATATATATATATAGCAAGTGTTAAAATGGGAGAAAATTTTTAGTAACCCATAGGTACCAAAAATTGAGAGAGAAAAGGCAAGAAAGAAAAGAGAGGAAGAAAAACGTGAGGAGAGAAAGGAAAGGAAAGAAAAAGAGAAAGGGAAAAAGAAAAGGAAAAGAGCTAAGGAAATTCTAATCAAACCTAAAAGAGGTAAGTAGGTTTCATTTTTTTTGCTGATTAATGTCTTAAATTATTTTTTTAAAGTTATTTTGTTAGTGTTTATTTCATGGGTTGTAATAATTTTCAATGGTTATATGCTTGATGCTTGGGATAAATCTATGTATGGATGCCTTGTTGTGATGATTTATGATGTTATGATTTTTTGAAAAATGTCCAAGTATGTGGTGATGGGTTGAATTGAACTTGGACTAAATTTAAGTGAACTAAAACATGTTTAAAGTTGGCTTGGAATGAACTAATAAATTAGTGTTGATAAGGCTTAAGTTCTGTCCGAATTTTAGGGTGCATTTTCAAGGATTTTACGTCGATATCTGGGTAAACCTTAAAGAATAAAAGTTGTTCACATATGTTTCAACTAACTCTCTTTAAAATTTCTTGGTCATTGGATTTGTGTACAAAGAGTTATACCCGATTTAGTATGGATAGCTCTAGATAAACTACTACTAGGTAGATTACTCCCTAAGTTTCAAAAATTTGTAATTAATTGTGTACTTATTATTTAGACCTAATTTTTGGATATGTTATAAATAAATATGTATAGTATCTAAAATAAAATGGGTAAGATTTAATTATGTTCTGAAATTGGAAAATTATTTACTCGATTAGGAGTTGCCCGGTAATAAACCCTAAAACTAAAAAAAAAAAAAATTAGACTTGGACAAAATTAATATGTTTGGAATAAACTAAATGGATTTGGACTAAACAAAATAGAATTGAATAGAGTCAATAGACCTAGGATAAAGTTAATGGGCTCGGATTAAAGTAAATGGACTTGGATCTTCTTTTAAATATTAATGGAACTAATGAACAAT